TCACGCACTTGTTTCTTGGTTTGAAACGACCGCTCACTCCAGAAGGCAGAATCAAAAAATGAACTTGATCGGACGCCGGGAATTTTTTTTTTCCAGTGAGAAAATGAAACTTGTCACGTTTCATTTAGAGCATATGACGCAGAGGGAGCGGTCGTGCTCGGAGTCCACTTGCTGTGACGGAAATGCCATAACTTTCTTAAATATCAACCAAATTCAGAAGTTTTTTCTTTGTTCGACTTCTCTTAACGAGATGAATCGATTAAAGAGAAACTGATCTCAGAATCTTGGTAGTTTTCCTCAATTCATCAAGTTTAAAGAAGGCATATGAGAATAAAACCTGTTGAATTCATAGGTTTTCATTTCATAAGTGGAAACAGACGCGTTAGAAATGAAATAACAGAACGAAATCAATGCTCTTGATCATCATCAATGTGAGAGTAACGAATTACCAGGACATAAGAGTAACGAGGACAATGACCTATAGGTATAGCACGCAGCATCCAATGAAGAAGTAACAACGGAAATACATATGAACAGGGAGAGTAGAACGCCTCATTGGTTCTTAAACAACTACATCTACGCGCGAATCTGTTCCTTAGTAGGGCTCACCTGAACCTGCTGAGTTAACATGAGTGTATATCAAAGAGAAGTTAAAAAGAAAAGTTAGATACAAGTGAGACTCTCTTAGAATGCGCCTGGCGAATGTTTTACGGACAATCTAGAAAAGAGCTTCAAACATGAAACTCATATAGGAGATAGAGATTGGAGAACAACTTGAGCAAGCTAGTTCGGGAAATATTAAAAAAAAAAAACAAATTCTGAAAAAAAATACAAAAGATAAACAACAAACACAACCTCTCTCGGAACTTGCACAACTCAAAATGGCGGTCCAGAATCGATTCTGCCCTCGACCAGAGTTTAAAGACCTAACTATAAACCAATTAAACAGTTCGATACAAAAAAAATCACCTAACTCTCACTAGGCAACTGTTTGACCATTAAGTACAGAATAATTCAAGCTGAATATATATTATACAGTATTCTCAGTTATGCCAATGAAAAAGGCGTCAGAAACGTGGCAAACGGTTTACGCATTCACTCAAACGATCAGAGTAAGGTTTCAATGAAAAAATTGAAAAAAAAAGAGCGAGAAAACCTGTAAGGATCCGATTGAGTTACGCTCTCCGGCGTGTTCTCCTACTTACAAGAGGCTACTCTGCCGCACAAGAATTACGTAGAAATCGTGAAACTCAACCGATCAGCCAAACCAGCACATTCAGGGAATGAAACTTGTGTACGACTAAAAAGTTTTATTTTCCTCAATCTTATCATCCTATGAGACTGGTGATTGTCCTGAACAATGCAAGATATGCAGCATATTTAACATATGCATATTACCGCCGAATCAACTAATCTTTGAGTCAAAGTAAACCACCTAATACATTGATTTCTTTCCTTTTTTTTATTTCGAAACTCTCTGCTTACTCATCACGAATCGTAATCACATTGATTATGATGCTGATTACTGATTATTACTGATTATTATAAATCGTTCGTCAGCTTCGCCAGCCGGGTGATGGTTTCTGAGTCTATTCTGGATGATCGCATAGACGCATCCGAGTTAGAAGTAAGTTTATTCTTTAGGCTGTAACTATCAACCTATCTATATAGAAATTCCGTGATAACTATTTGGCCGAATGTGCTCGTGGAAACCCATCTACAGATATTATCTTCGCATATGCATCCGCTCTCGTACGCTCTAACAAAAAGACGATTCGTGAAGGTGTCAGAATCCTCAAATGTGTTCGCTCAATCTATATCCAATCCCTAAGATTGTATTTCAGATCTCATAGAAAATGAGTCACGAGAATCGTACCAAAGAGACTACATTTACTACCTTTCTTTGGGTTATGCACACCTTAATGTACGTTCTACATCAGTCTCGGATTAAAATTAGACATGTTTTCAGGATTACGATCGAGCTCTCGCCTACATCGATATTCTGTTGAAATCTGAGGAGGAAAATCACCAAGCCGTTAATCTGAAAAAAATCATTAAGAAGAAGATGCATAAACGTAGAAAATAGTTGAAAGACTTCTCATTCCATAATATTCTAGATGGATTCATCGGAGTAGCTATATTTGGTGCATTTTCAGCTGTCGTTGCTGGTGCTGCAATTGGCATTGTGAAAGCTGTAAAAAGTTAATTTGACACAATTTTAACAATCCAACTACTAATCATGATCAACAGTAATTAAGAACTTAGTTTTATTATCATTGAACCAAGAACCACAGCTAACTTTATTTTAAATTGAGAAATGACTTCATGAGGCTCAGCATCGGCACTAACTAATAGCCAATTTTAAATCAAATTTAATCAAGTAGTCCGCTATTAGTATCACGAATGAAGATATAATCACTAAACTGCACTCGTTTCAAGTTGCTTTAGCATAATGAAATACAGAAACAATCTACTCTTCCAATTTTGAACGATCTCCGACATTTCCACCTCGTAAACTGCGCAAACGCATATTGCTGGTAAGTTAGAGCACAAAAACTGGAATCTTGGAATTATGGTCATAATTTCATCCTCAAAATAAAGGGGAAAATGAAATCGACTCTATTTTGCATTGGAGCGCTATATGCTTCGCCTATGAAAGTCACACGCCCTACATAGCAATCGCAGAAGCTGCGTTCACTTTGTCACGTTTTTCATTAGCCCTATCACATCTGCTTCAATTCATAGCATATTCCTTCTGCTCGATTATATAATAATGTAACTGGCACTTTACTTTGTGATAGAATGATATGCAACTACAATTTGAAAATTGTGAATAACTATTGAAATCATAAACAATGAAACCTGCCTTTTCTTTTCTTATTTAATAAATATTTTTGTTCTTACTGTATGTCTTTTTTTACGCAACTACGTATTTCTATTGATTCTCTTTCAGTATTTCGCAAGCATAAAGCCTCGTGTCATCTTAATTAACAGAAAATGTCGCTACTGGATGTAGAATCTGTTTTAGACGAACGCATCGATTCATATGACTTAGAAGTAAGTTCCCTCCTTAATCTTAAATTATCAAACTATCTGTATAGATCTTCCGTGATAACTATTTGAAACAATGTACCCGAGGAAGCCCATGTGCCGAGGTTGTCTTTGCATATGCTTCTGCTTTGATCCGCTCCAGCAAGACTGATGTTCGTGAAGGAGTCGATATTCTAGAAAGTATTCATTCAATTTATATCCAATCCCCAAGATTGTATTTCAGATCTCGTAAAAAATGAGTCACGAGAATCGAACCAAAGAGACTACATTTACTACCTTTCTTTGGGTTATGCACGACTTAGTGTATGTTCTATATCAGTCTCGGATTAAATTTGGACATGTTTTCAGGATTACGATCGAGCTCTCGCCTACATCGATATTCTGTTGAAATCTGAGAAAGAAAATCGACAAGTGAGCGAGTTGAAAGAGATCATTGAGAAGAAGATGCGTAAAGGTAAAGAGCACATGGGAGATTCTTCATTTCTTTATATTCTAGACGGTTTCATCGGAGCAGCTATAGTTGGCGGAGCTTTAGCTGTTGTCGCTGGTGGTTTATTTGCCATAATGAAAGCTGTGAAGAATTAACTTGTAACATTCGAAACATTTTTAACAACAACCCGGGTGTATCATAAAAATATTTGTAATCATAAACTTTATTATTCATTATACAAGACTAGATTTATTACTCATGAAAAATTGAACTGAGCTTCTCTTAAAGACAAAAACTCAACAAAAATGGTTTCAAGTGACCGGGCGCAACAGGAAAAAGGCTTTTCACCAGCCATAGAAATAAATAAGTTATCTAAGAGATAGCTAACAAGAGATTAACAAAACTCGTTTCTTGAGCAAAGCAAGTAGCAAATGAAATTACGCAATCAAGATATCATCTTAAGCTCATAAAAATGGATTCCAACTGACGTTCGTGTTCTGCGATGGTGCTGACAACTGAGGCTGAAAATGTTGATTAATAATATATTTTGACGAGGAAGTTCTTACTGTCTGACTATTGAAGGGGTTCGGCCAAGCTTGATTCATTCCTTGTGGGAAAGGCTGAACTTGATGTTGTTGTTGAGGAGCTCCGAACGGATGAACAGGTTCCTGAGAGGCAAAAGGGTTGGAGTTCAACGAAACTGAAATAGGTAAACTATTGGAAAAAAATTTGCTTCGAATGTACCTTGAGAATTAGCATGAGGTTGAGAGGTGAGAAAAGGGTTGTTCATTCCATAATCAGTGATAGCTCCCATTGTGTTGCTCTTAGGCATAGGCGTGCTCATGTAATTTTTTGAGCTATTAGGTAGAACGGCGGGACGAGATTCTGGGAACGCTGGCTTGGCTTCAGAGAAAGCGGGTTTGGTATCAGGAAAGGCTGGTTTAGGATCGGGGAAAGCGGGGGTATAAGTAGCAGGAGGTAAACCAGTTGAGAACCCTAATTTAGGTAAAATGGGAAATAAACTTCAGATTAAGAAAACGTACCACTAGGCATCCATGCTGGCTTACTATCTCCTTGCCCTGTTGGATGACTGTGAAAAAGCTGAAACAACCTTCTAGATTAAGAAAGGAGAAATTATAATACTTGATCCAGTTCAGCAAGTGCACTGTACTTATCAGCACAGGAACTTGATTGCGTTATTAACGAAGGTGTTGGCGTGTCCGATTGTTGAACTGGCTTAACCTCAGGTGCAGATACCGGAGGTGGGGGAGCTACCGAACTAGGGGCACTTGTTAACGATCCTATAGTCATATCATTCTGAGATGTCGTAAGTAAATAAGTTGGTTCGTTGTGTGGTTACCTCGAAAGGGTTGCTTTTCTGTACAAGGGGATTAAAACCCGAAACAGTGGCAGACTTTATTATGGCATCTGAAAGAAAGATTGAATTCAAGAAAAGGAGAAATTATTCACTTGGTGGTAAAGCGATGTTACTGAATGTTTCACACGTATTTGACGATTTTATGCTCAAACCATTGAACTTGTTATCGAAATCAGCAAAAATATCCCTAGGTCCCTCGGACTTCACTTGAGCCTGGTCAACAGGCTTTGTATTCTCGAGTACATCGAATGGCTGAATATAGAAAGTATTCACTTAAAGGCATTAAGTCATGCTTGCTACCGATTTTGGGGGTAAGGGATGAGCTGGAGGTCCCGGATTCAACGACGGAGGCTGCCTTTGCTGATATTGAGAAGGTTGAGGAGGGGGAGGAGCCATACATGCTGGTGGAGAAAAAGGCTGAAGTGGTTAGTTGCATTGATATATGAAACAAAAAAAAATACATGTGGAGGTAATGCGGAAGAAGCATTATAAGAATCGCCTGGAATGCTATTGGTATTACTCGGTATCGACTGAGCGATTGAACCGAAGGGATCAGAAGCAAATAAATCAATTTCCGGTGGCTGTAATATAAATATTAAAATGGAGAAACAAAATTCACAAACTTTTGAACTACGACTGCTTGTGCTAGAAGCTCCCTGGCTAGCGATCTCTTTGGCTTTTAAGAGTAGTTTTTCTTGTTCCGCCAGCTCAGCTGATGAAACATACCAAGCCTTTTGCTCGTATTTCTCAAAGAACAGATAGATTAATGAAATAATGAATGAGTCAAGAACCTTGTTTATGAACGCTTGAATATCTTCGCGATTTGTCATCGTCGGAGGAGTTCCGCCATACAACCCCAACCATGTCCTGGAATTCTCCGCGTTTCCAAGATTTTTGAGCTTTTCGATCTGCAAAAGTTACAATAATTACAAAACATACACAACTCTAAAGATTACTTCTTCTGTTGTGAATGTTGCCATGGAAATTGATTTAACCCTATGTGGTGGGTTAAGCCCACGTCTAAAACAGTGAATTATGAAGCAGTTGTTAACATGAAGTTCAACTCACAAAATACCCGAGCATGATGTGCAACAGAAGGATCCTTCTGTAATATTAACATAAGTTGGGCCACGTTGACCGCATTCAAAACAGTTCCTATTAGAAGGGAGACCGGCAAGTTCCCTGAAGAATAACAACAAAATAAGAATGGAGAGGAAGAAGGAAACCTTAATAATTTAGAGTTTTTCTCTTCTTGCCGCTTCTTCTGATTGATTGCTGACTGCATAAAACCTGAAGAAGTATAATTCACTTCGCATAATTTGATAATCAAAAATAGAAACTGATAAGAAGGACCATTTCATATAGGAGAATAAGAATAAGAAGAAAAAGAAGAAGGGAAAAAGAAGAATAACATGGACGCAGAGACAACATGCGACCTTAGGAACAGCTGAGCGCTGCGGCGTAAAACGACAATGTGCCCCATATACATTCATGAGAACACCAGAAGAGGCAATCGTTCTATTATATTTGGATAGCGTAATAATTATAATGAAGAGTAAAAATCAGTGATTTGGCGAAAATATATCAAAACGCGCGGCTTTTGCCCTCTTGTCATCGCAAAGCAGCTAGGCCTGCCGGCCGGCGACGCAAGGCACATATAGTCAGTAACACACACACACACACTCACACACACACATACAGACACACACACTTATCCACATATAAATAGCATAAGTATAAATATAAATGGAGTTAATTTTAGAAAATATCATGCCTAAATTGAAAAAAACTTAAAGACATTTAAAAGTTTCGAACTGTTTAGAGCGTTTCGTATAAAGCGAACTTAAAATAAATACACAATGACGTCATCGATTATTATTTTAGCACTGTAAGGGGTAGAAAACGGTTGTATTCCGAAGCAGTTCAGAAACGTTGAGTTAAATAAACGTTTTCAATACTTATTCTTAGACATGCAAATATATTCCATTTACAAAGAAAACTTCCAACAAAAAAACATAGATGGAGGTCTGTTCAACGGAAAAATATACAGAAAGAACGGCGTCAATGAAAAAAACGAAATGGAAGTCATGGTTCTGGCGGATTGATGCTCGCGAACAGATCTTATGATGGCTTATCATTCAGCTCTTTGAACAGTTTTTTAGCAGTTAGAAGCTTTGATGAAGAGTGTGGGATTGCTTGTTATTGAAACAATAGGTAAGCCGCAATAGCACCCAGCGGACTATTCATTATCCACAGTTCCAATACCCTACACCAACGCTCCTCCTGATGGCAAAACTACGTCGTTGTCATTCTCATCGTGGTTGTCGTAAAGTTAATGCATCTCGTGCTGAGCTTATTTTTCTGGACCCTCCCATCTATTTTCTCTCAGTATCTCAACCTCTCTATGGCTATTTCTCTCTATCTCTCTCTTTCTCTAACTCATCATGTAGTTCCTCGTTCCGTCTTTTTTTATCTTTTCTCTCTCAATTTTTAGATATGTTTTGCGTCGTCTTTTTTCATCTCAAAAAGCTTTTTCTGATGTCGATAAATTCTTTGTCTGACGAAGAAGCCTGGATTTGGCGTCTTCGCAGTCAGAAGCTCTTTATTCGTTTTAGTATTGTCTTCTTATTCCCTGATGACCAATTGAAATTTAGAGCTATTCTGGTTCTGAATATAGTAAAAAATAAAGGCATACTCAACTGGTTTGATTCTCAAAAAAAAACATTGACCTCATCATCGCAACATGCAGATGCCATTGTTTTGTTTTTACTTACTCTCACCATCGGCTCCCTCTCAGAATGACCTGAATACAATTCCAGTTTCTACTTTTACCTCTTTTATTCGATCAGCCTGTTGCTTTCAACGTCCGCAAGTTTTTATAGATGAATATCTAATCCATTATGATTGGGAGTGGGTAGAGAGGAATAAAATTTGTTGTTCTCAAAGTATGACAGCCAGTCGTCCAAGCTACATGTTCAAGCATAAGCCTATTTTGCTAATCCATAAGCTCACAGCTGGTCTGCGATATAATTGCTTGACACCATGTCAATGGGTCAACAATGACCATAACCGACCATATCTCCTTCTGTGACCTGTTCCTAGTTCTATTTTCAGCGTTTCGAGAAGACACAATGATTGATTTTAGTAGTATCTTATTAGACTCTCTCGACTGCTTCTTCTTCAATTGCTTTTTCTTTAATTACTTTCATAAAAATCTTTTGGCTTTGTTCCAATTTTTCATTTCCTGATTTCTTGAGCTTATGCTTATTCTTCCAACTTAATCATTCAAGGGTAAGAAAATCAAAGAAGGAGTAAGAGAGAATGAAAGGGAGAGCGTGTTAGAGCAGAAATATCGCTTCTAAGAGTGGTAGAGCATAAGTCCAGAGTCTGAAGCATGAGTCCAGCCTCAGTTGCTTTTAGGCATAGACAGCTAGTCTTCTGACTGGCACATACCCCTGACGCTTCCTCTCTTTCTGTCATTGGTCTTGAACTGCTGTTATATGGCCAATTTTCACGCTTACTTTTAGTTATTTGTTCTTTCTTGCAACATAAACTCAGCTAGCTGTGAATGCAGATGAAGAAGCAGTTTGAAGAAATTCATTCAAATTCTTCTTTTTATTCCCAATAGGTCTAATTCCATATCAAGATAATCAGAAGTAGTCAATTTATAGCCATTTATGGATATAAGCTGATTTTCTTTCATTCAGAATGATTGAGAAAAATAGCATTTGAAACGTATTATCTGTCTTGTTCTCATCACATAATTTAATAAAAAGCATTTTCTTATTCGCTCTCCGCCTCTCATTCTATCATTCTGCCCTCTTTCCCTCTTTTCCTCCTAATTAACCTGATTATCATTTTATTTTTCACAGTTACACAAATTGGTTCCAATGGTTCTTATATGTACAATCCGTATGTACTTCACACGTGGAAATCTCACGCGAGCTTCACGTACTAAAGTGCGAACTTGTAAGAATCTCATTTGCATTCTATTGGCTTCACCGAGCGGTTGCATTCGTCTACTCTATTTTCATCCATCTCCTCATATTCTCTTTATACATCTTATTCTCATTCATTCTATATCATCATCCTCATCATCATCAACGTTATATCCTATTTTTTGTACGGCTTTTCAAGTGTAACAGGGGAAAAGTTTATTGAAAACAACAATTAGTTGTAGTTCAAACTGTTCTTTGCCATGCGCGTACAGTCTACGTCATGAAAATCTGCCAAATTATCTTATTTATCCAAACAGTCTTTTAATGTGCAACGAAAAGGTTTGAGTGAAGTGAACAAATATGGCCATATGTAACCATATGGTATATCCGTTTATAGATTGGAAGATTAGCCAAAAGGAAGAGAAACTGATAGTTTACTTTCTTTTTTTTTGTTCACAAATTTTATGTATAAACTCATCAATTATTTGACGACTTTCTGGTTTTTTATTCTTCCTTGCCATCCATGTGAACTTCAATACGTTCATTCATTTTTGAGAGACTTTGTAAGTCCTTTTATGGATGAAGAGAATAACCAGCAGTTGGCTGCAACGTGTGACACAATGTTCATCCATTTTTTTCATCAGAAAATCTCAGATGAGCATGTAGTTTTGGACTGCAGTGCATAAACTACGTCATGCCATATACACATACTTATACTTCTTATGGATTATTTCATATATCAGTTTTTACTTCAATTTCATCACTGAGCATTTCATCATTGCTGCTTCTCATTAAGAATTCGCTGAAATCCGTTTAATGCCGTCTTCGTCCTCTCAACTATTCGTTTTTCCCATCTTCCTCTCTTTTTGGATTTTCGTTTCTGCCATTTCTGTTCGTCTTTTGTTCACTTCAACATATGTCGTTTTAGCTAAAAGTTAGCTAACTTCTTCTAATATAATCTCAAAAAAACTATTTCAGAGATTGTTCTCAATTCTACTTCAATGGCTTACGAATTGAATTCAATGAGACATCTTTAGAATAAAAGGATATAACTGTGAAACAAAAACAGCTTCAAATATGGCTTTGATAGCTGAGCGATTGAGGTTTGCTTTTACTTTTCAACTCATTTTTCATTTTCAAAAAGTACATTTGCTTTTGAGCATTGAAATTCTGTTGAATTGTTGCAAATTGAAAACTATGCCCCGAGAGATCTTCATCAAAAAGCTTCTCAGTCATTCTTTCATCGCACTTATCTGTATCGTTTATCAGCCGGTGCTAAATTAAATTTTTAAACAGCACCAATTAAAAATTTCAAACTGATTATAATGTCAAAAAAAAGAGAGAAAAGAAAGAGAGACGGGGGAGGAGGGAGATTGTCCATGTGAACACAGGGTTGGGCAGCCCCGCGGCCTAGGAAAGACAGGGCAGACAGTCAGACAACTCTCTCATGCCATATATGCACCTTACATATTGATTGAGAATCTATTTTTTCCCTCACAAAATCTGCTCAAACTTTTATGAAAATTAGTTTTCCATTTCGTTAGTTATTCGCATTTGAGTGAAAACAAGTGAAAACCGTTTATAAGAGCTATAAAATGGGCCAAGAGAGTGACCGTTTTCTTTTATTTTCGATGTTTTTCATCCCCATTCAAGGAAATAAAACCCAGAGAATATTAATAATTCAAGGGAACATGCATGTAAGCTAATCCCATAGTTCGAAGCTTCGTAGGTTGGTTGTTCTCTTCTCAGATTTTCTCTTGTTCATATTTGAATTGAGTTTTTCTATAAATTCTGAGAACTTCATTGTTTGTTTGATATGAATCAGTCGTATGATTCAACGTTTCGACCAATATTAATTCATCATCTTTTTGCTACTGATCTCTTCTTAACTGAAAACAGGCAAACATCAGGATGTAATGAGAGGTATCACTGTCTACGAGAGAGTAACTGACCAATCGAGTTCTGAATCAAATCCAATACCAGCAGTCAGGCAAACTTTACTTCCTTCTTACATCATATTGGCTTCTACAATCTACCTTTGCTTATTTTCGTTCTTCTGTTTCCATGGTTTTCTCTTCTCATGAAATTTGACATTCAGCCAGAGAATATTGATATTAGGGAGATTGGTGACGAGAAGTTATGTCGAAAGCAAAACGGCTTCTCCATATTTTTCTCTGACGAGCACCTTTCTCTTGTGCGTTTTATCTTTCTTTCAATTCTTATATTCAATCAAGAGACTGTTCTTTCTGTTTTCCAGCCGACAAACAGTCTGAAAGCTGAGGAGGCAAAGAAAAGGTGAGAGAGATCCAGAGAGATAAAGAGAGACAAGACGATTTTGAAAGATTTGAGAGGAAGCGGTGTCATAATAAGCATCATGTAGTTATTATTTTCCTTTTTGTTCTAAGTTGTAACTTTCCTATCAACTGTCTTATCTCCTTGTGCCAAAAAGAGTGGCGGAAAGTTAAATCAGACATAATAACAGCAGTTAAATGCAGATAACATTTTGTACCTTGGTAGAACTCCAAGCTTTTGTCTTATCGATACAAGAACTTCCCAACTTATCGGCACCAATCATGGTTTTTGTCCCATTGAGCAGAGAAGAAACAGCCTGATCAGATTCTTTCTCGCTCCTGGTCAAACATATTTCGGGAATTTATTATTATTTTCCGATAAATAGAAATATTTTATTGCTTTTTTATAGTTTCTGTTTCGAGTTTGTACATCCGAGATGTTTGTTCTGCTTCTCTTACTCTAGACTCTCATACGAAACATCCTTGCTGTAGTCTTCAATCTCCCTTTTTTTCTCTAATCCTCTGTAGACTTTTCTAAGTCTTGTGTTTGTTTGAAGTACCTTCATACAGGACAGACCAGAGCTTCTGAATCTGCACTTCGCTCTCCATTTCATCGTCCTTTCACTTTTTAAAATTTCTCTCTATTGATCAGGCACAGAGTGATTTCCTCAATTGGATTCATCAATTGAATATGGCCAAATTGTGAGTTCAAACGTTTTACATCTTATCCTCATCTAACGTGGGAATCGAAAATACTAACGACCTATGACATCCTAAGTTGTGCGCACGAAGTCAACACGCTGATCATTGTCTCAGTCGTGTCAGCAAAACAAATGTTTTCATTACAAAAACAAGGCGTTTTTTTCGTTTCGTTCATTATCAATACACTTTCCAAGTATGGAAGAAGGTTTTTGATTATTACCTCTAACCATATAATCAGTTTCTCATTCTTTCTTTTCATTCTCAGTTTGCAAGTTGGTGGAACGGCTTTCCACTTCTTCTCGTATATTCCAGTCGCGCCCAAGTTGGATTGAATTCAATCATCCTTGTGTACAAATACAAACTACAGATTACTTATTTCCCTCCTTTTTCCATTTTTATACTCATAATTAACTGGTATTGGCAAACAGTTCATATTTTTGCGACATCTAAAAAAAGGAAGAAGTAAGAGTCAACCTCGCCGTCGTGGACAAAGCCCGCCTTCAAAGAAACCTTGAATGTAAGAGAGAAGAACGAAAGGGGAGGGTCTGTTTGTATGTGTAATGGTCGACTGACTGTCTCATTGGCGGTCAGCTACTCTTACGACGTCTTCTCATCATCTCCTTCTGCGTGTCATCTGTGGTTACGGACAGCCTTCCCTAGTTTTTCTTCACTCTCTCTTACCCCTCTCTCGTTCTCTCGTAACTTCTATTCACGATTGGAAACAATCAGTTTGTTCTTCACACCTGATTGTACTTGATTAAAAGTTTCGCTATTAAAACTATGCCAACTCCAAAACAAATGTAAGTTAATTCACGACGATGATTAGCATAATATTCGTTTTTGCTTTTTGCACAGAAGATTCGTCTTCTGCTTTCCCAACACTATACATTTTCACATTAACTGACCTTATTCTCTAATAGTTCCAATGATGACAAGGAAACTCAACAGATGTGAAAGTGTTGATGTTGTTGTCCACATGCTTCAGTTGCACTTTAACAACGCCTCCATGTAAAGAAGTTATGGGACAATGCAATCTTGTTGTTAAGTTCGATAGCCAACGTTTGGAACTAAAATGAGGGCGCATCGATTAGTTTTTGTTAAAGAACTGAATCGATAGTTATATACTAAATAAAATCTTTGATAACTTCACGTTAACACCAAGATTCATCTTAAATTCAGTCTATTCGTTTCAGAATGCAACTGAACTACCTGAAGGGCGCCAGGCTATCGGAATCCAGCACTATCAAAATGCTGACGATTTTGAAGGTAAGAAGAACTTCCTAGATTTCAGAAATGTTGACCTGGTTTGGGCAAACGACTTTTGTTCATTAAACTTTAAAAATTTAATTTCAAAGCAAAAGAACATCAAACATTAACAGTTGAATTCTTGGTCCAAACCTCAAAGAATCTCGTTAGAATGTTAACTATTGAGAAATTGAGGTAAGAGAGGTGAGAAGGATGAGAAGAGGAAGTAAGAAGCATGCGAAAGTGCTAGTGCAAAACGGAATTTGGACAAGAGTTAAGCGTGTTTGAGGTTAATCGTATTACAATTTTGCTCGAAATACCATGCGAATCTCTCAAACCAATTGCTTGCACAGTTACTAAACATTTCTGTTTAGGCGTTAGCTCAATGCCACGTAGTCATTGGATTGATTATGCTCATTCTATCAGCTTTAGCTGATTATACAAGTGGTCGAATGAACACAATTCGCTTATACGGCTTACAGGAATGTTGTTCCTTCTACTTCTTAGTCACAGGGTGAGCGGATATCAAAAAAACAATAAAATAAACGTACTTGTTAGATTAATCGGATTATGCGGAGCTGCTTCATACAGACGTGGATTGGTAATTACATTTTTGGTCATGGCTATTCATGCAATCATCATCTTCGTGCCAGCCGTTATAATAGTTTCGAGCTTTGATATCCATTTCTATCAGGTAAAGTCTTATTTGTTCTGAAAAAAAGAAACAAGTAGGAATGTGATGAACAGATCTAAAAATAAAAATGTAATATTTTGAACCGTTTCGAAGATTGCTACAAACACAACCGCTTGCGTCAAACACAATTTTATAAATAAAATGATCACGCCAATTTACGTATGATTCACGTGACGTATTGTCAACGTGAACACAAAATTATATTTTCTCTCTCTTTATATGTAAATATTGAAATCACGCGTACTTCAGAATGAAACTAATTTTTTCATATTTTTCAGCATGAGTGCTGGGGAGAATGTGATTGGCATCTACTGGCAACATCTTTACCATCAAATAGTCGTTGCCAGATCATGTGTGGTGATCATGTGGATGACAACATGAGAATGTAAGTATCAATAGTTGTTACGATTATGACTTGAATGGTTTCAGGACAATGACACGATTAGGCACTGACTATAAGTTGGATGCTGGCTTGATCGCTGCAGCCATTGTTGAACTAGGCTTAGCTATTGGAACTACCGTTATTGCTTCCAAAACAATTTGCAGTACTGTTAAGGTAAGATTCTTATACTTCTTTGGAGTATCTTTCTTCATTGTAGGGCCCGTCAGTGGAAATGGTTCCTTTGAATGGTGGAGCAGCAGAATCCGGTTCTGCAGCAGCACGTGAACCATAAACCAATTAACCAGAGATTTTCTTTAGGTTTATGTTAAACAAGACATGCTATATTGTATAATGTATTGACTATTATAGCATAATACTTAACTTAACTCATCCTATCCCCCATTATCTCTTTTAGGTTCAACAGGATGATTTAAACAAATTTTTATTTTGTACATAATATCTCCTATCTCCTACTCTTCTCATTTTTCATCCCTTCTCTCAACAGTTGCATGTATTGTCAATCCTCATTTACTTTATCACCGATGATAACTGATTACAGGTACATTTGTTTTCATTTACTTTTTGAAACTTTTGCGAATCTCGTTTGAACGGAAAAACACGATTATCCTATCTTTCGCTAGTTCAAAACTGTAGTTCATATCTATCATCATGTTCTTTCTCGAGTTTTCCTAACAAAGCTTTTCCACTGGTATTTTGCCCTTATTTGCATCGCCATTGAACTCTTTTCATATTGTTAGAAACTATTCTTTCAATGAAATGTTTATTATTGAGCTTCTTTAAATATGAAAACAATTATTTACAATGACAACTCTAGTCTGTGGGATAGGCTGTAGCTAAGCAGAGTCCTGCTCCACACTCTTGAGTGTATGAGGTAACAGCCAACTTGTATCCATCTATGGTGAAGCGACATCCGTTGGCTCCAGAATGAACAAGAGAGCAAACAGTCAAAAGTGAGAAATCAAAAGCTAAATGGCACGATGAACATTATGCTTGTGGATTGAATAAAGAACCTGGAGAAGTTCCGAAGAAGAAACCACCCTTCTGTTTCAAATTTCCAGCCCATTTGTATTGAAATGTTCCGATTAATTGCTAAAAGTGTGAGATGAAAGATTATTCGCAGAGATATCAAATAGCTGTTTGAACGTTACTCTCTCCCTCTTAAGTTAAGGAATAGTTCGAAATTATTTGTTGAAATGGCGTCCTCACTGTCTTCACACGAACGCACAAACTATAGACGTTTTAATATGATCGGCAAGAACAAACAAATTTTTTTTTTCTCCAGTGTGTTCACAAAAAAAGGTACTCGAAAATCAGAGAGTTCAACTCGTATTCTATATACACTCGAACAAAAATTACTCACAGCATCGTAGTTATAGTATCCATTGTAAACGATTTTGCCGGCTTTCTCCAAAAGATAGTAACGTTGCCAGTTGTGTTGTCCATCAACAGTATTACTCTTGAATTCGCCACTGAATACGTGTTCAAATCCTGTTAAACGAAGATGAATGAGGGAAAGGTTCGAATCTCAGTACCAGATGATCCGAGTGGTCCCTTACAGCGAGAATAAGTTCCGAACCAGAAGTTGAACAAGAAGTTTTTCATTGTGTTCATATCGGTAGCTTCCTTGACTCCTGTACCATATTTTAGTTGCAAAAGAATATGAATTCTATTATGAACCTTTGGATTTCAAGTAATTGAAAGCAGATTGGAAAACTGTGGTACTGGTCCATGTATCAATAACATTGAGGAAAGCAACCTTACGAGAACCGGAAAGAGCTGGTTCAGCAGTACAAACCTGAAAAAAGTATATGAATTAGGATAATAACATGTGAGCTAACGTCAGGGGTGAACAGATTCTGATCGAAAACTTGAATGAGCACATCATAAACTTTTCTGCTGAAAATGTTCTCATTCATGGAAGAAAACAGCCTGAAGAAGTTTGAATGAAAACAGAATCAAGAAGTTCAAATACTTTTGGTTGCTACCGGATCCAACCTTGTTACCCCAGTTGAGCTTGTAATCAGTTTGACTTGGCTTATCAACATCTTCTGTTCTCATTTGGTCGACAAGAGTCTTGAAATCAAAACAGTATATGAGCTAAAGACAAGGATGATACCTGGAGTTGAGGATCATTAGTTGAAGCCTTAGTGGTTTTAGAGGAAGGGTGTTTGGTGGTGTGAGATGAGGATCCTCCATCAGCTTCAGGAACGCATCCAGAAATCTGAAATTAAAAGCTATACTACAACAAGAGAAAAAACATATTATATTCAAATCTCTTCCGAGACATTATGAAGCGGGAAAACGTTCATGGATTGTTAACTTACCACTACGGCAGTTCCATTGGCAGAAACAGTCGAAACCTGAAGGCTGACCATAGCATTGTTAACCTTAACGGTGCACTGAAAAAAAAACATTCAAATTTACTTCTTTCATGATCAAACAAACAGTTCCACTTCCAGCCAAAGCACAGACGGTGTAGGCAGCAATTTCAAATTCAGGTGTGGTGTTAAGAAGGAAAGATTGTTCCAAAGCCTCAAAGAGTCCCCAAGAGAATTGAGTATCAATGACTACTCCCTGTAAAGATGTAAGATGAGAAACAGTTTTGATGATATCATCAATGTAGAAGCTAGGAAAGTTCAAAAACGATTTGGATTCACACCCCAAATATTTATGAACCTTAAAATAGCCCTTAAGCAATTTATGGCCGTTTGGCCTTTTATGACTTGAAGCATTATCAGCTATAATAACAGCAGAACAATTGCAGGAGAACATTCAATCGTCTATCATTCTACAGATTTCCATATATTATATTCTTTATAATTTCCTTGTTTTATATTTCATTCATATATGCTTCTACCTTTGCAACAGTCGTTCATCATCTCATAGCCATCATACTATTTGATAAATCGAAATGTGCTTCAAGCGAATATGAAAACGAAAACGATTTGAATGAAGTATAAGAAAGAATCGACAATCAAATGTGATTCGTTGAATGAAATCATAATATTGATAATCAATATTCATCGGTCATTTCTTTCTATGGTAAAGGAAATGATCAAACGATTCAATAGTTGTAGCTGAATAAGATAGCTGCTGCAACCTCAGCTCGTTTACTCAATTCCATCAATCTGCTCATCAACAAATTGAAAAAGAATAAAAAATAATATTTTTCGATTGTCCTCTTCAAGTATGATGATGAAAGAAAACTAGATCAGATCGTTTCAAAAAGCCAAAATCCAAATAAAAAACAATTTTCATTATAATAAAGCTTCTGATTAGAGAGATAGGTCTCTCTCTTTCTTTCTCTTTCATACTCATTCTCTCTCATCCTTTTTCTACATATAAATATATATTTTAATATATTTATATTTTATATTATGCTAACTGACATAATTCACCTTATTTGGATAAAGGTTGGAACTATTTTATTTTTTTTCATCACAAATTCCCTCATATGCATCTCACACGTGTCCATGATAACAGAGTGACGTAGATTCCTTTTTATCAAATTTTTTTTTGATTCTCTAAACTTTCGGTATGACCCTATCGAACTGTGTTCATAGTAAAGGTCTGTCATACACATTTGTTTAAGATTCTCATGTTTGGTAGAAAACCAAGAAGTCAGACGTTGTATGACGCCGAGGTACTTCTGCAGCGGAGGAAAGATGTGCAGGTCTGACATTGAAAATCATCATCTTCTTCATTGACTTTGTTCAGCAACATGAGTATAACTCCAGGTACAAGAGAATCCGTTCAGCTGTTTATCAGTTCCTTGACCACCCGTTGGCAGCTAACAGCACTTTGTATCATTTTGGTATCCAAACAGCTGAGTACTGATCCTAACAAGCTTTCTGCAGCCGTGTTCTTCTTCGTGCTTCTAGCAGTGATTCTCGGTGCTACAGCGGAAACTTTAGAAAATCATTGGATGATCGGTTTAGCAGATTAGTTTCTCTTGAATACTGTCTCATTCAGAAGTTTATTCCCGCATGGAGAGCTTTCTTCTAGTTTTTTTTGTCATCGAGTTCGCGATCCGTTTATGGTCTATAGAAGCAGACGCCAAATACATCGGATGGCGAGGTGAACACGTACAAAACAGATTTCTTGAAAAAGAATATTTCAGGAAAACTAAAATATATGAGATCCACAGTATGCATAGCTGACATGATCATCATACTAGTCACGTTCATTATGCGAGTTATGGAGAAACGTTATGTCTCTAAGAACATGATGGATTACTTGAGATTCATACAGGTAGTGAAATCATTATCATATTCATTACGGTCTTGGTTTTAGATTCTCCGCTTATTCCATATAGATCGTCAGATGACTACATGGCGACTGATCAAGAATATGATTATGATTAGCAAGTAGGTATATTCTCTTCAAAGCGGACAATACGCTGTGCTCTTATAGGATGGAACTCTTCTCTGCTTACTACATCACTTTCTTCATCTTTCTTGTTCTAGCTAATACTGTGTTTCTACTTGAAAACACTGACTTCCATCAAATATCTAATCAATTTTTCAACGTCACAGAGGGTGTACCAAGTTTGATTTGATTCTCAGCCATTACTAAGGTTGTGGAGTTTCCAGAAAGGACAACCACAATGCCTACTCTAGCTGATGCTTGGTGGTTCAGCGCTGTGACAATCTTAACTATAGGGTATAACCGATAATTCTACATTGATCATACATATATAACTATTGAAGATACGGAGATATTGTCCCCGCGTATTGGACTACAAAACTGGTTGTATGCCTTTTGGGGTTTCTGGCTTTCTGTACCTTTGTTACAGCGTCAACTCAGATATCTGTAGGTAAGTTTGCAAGAGAAATATCTGTAAATCTTTTCTCAAGGTTTGACATTGATGATGGAAGAAGATAATAAGCAAGAATACAAGAAAAAGCTAAGAAACACTTCAGCGGGTGTTATTCAATGCTGGTAAGCATTCTCTATGCAAGGAGGTCTTTAGAGCTTCTATACAGGTATAGATATCACGTGGCCACAAGAATCTTCAACGATCAAAGCTCTCTCAAAAGCGCTCACTTTAAGTCCGTTTCTTCCAATATAATCAGAAGAAAACTGTTTCATTTAGACATGTTTGCTATAAACTATATCTAACCAATGAACGTCTTCAAAGAATTAGAGATGAAGAGAAGAAGAGGCAACACAAGATGTCAAAGTATGTTCCATTTCCATCTTTTCGCTTTTGAAGTAAATTTGCAGGAAGAGAAAGAGCAGCCCTGCTATCAAAACTTCATACTTCAATTCCTCTGTTGTTAATGAAGAGCAACCAGCATGGATTCATTCATTACGTTATAAAGTGACTCCCCAGGTTTGTCTAGCTTCGTGCACTTAGTAAAAGCTGATTCAACAGGTGATGACTGCTGCTGGAATTATGGATACTTCGATAGTTCCTCGGCCACCTCCACCACCTCCACCGCAACCGCAACATAAGTCATCGACAAACTCTTTCAGGCGTTTCATGGCAAGTCGAATCCTATTTTTATCTTATGAAGTCAAATTTAGAGTCTTCCATTTTCTTATTCATGTGAAGTTGACGATTATAACCCCCCAGCTGAAGTAATGTCTTTGCCTGACACTGTAGGTTATTAGCATATTCACGTGACTCTCACGTACGTCATCTGGGCACAATGTGATCATTTTTCTTAGTAGAAAGTTAGATGATCGGTTGTTCTTCTCGAGTTATTTTAACGATGAGCTTATTTATAATTTTCAGAAATTCACACATCATCACAGAAGCTCAACTGATACAGCATTATCTTCATCATTCGATTCTGATACAGATCATAATGGGGACCTGCTACGTCATCAACACGACAAGTATAGTAGTGCTGATATAAATGGTAACATATCTATCCCCCCATCATCATAGCTATTATAAAAATCTATTCAAGAAGTGGACGAACGGATTCTGATACGTTATCAGCCCCTTTTACGATTTCTTAATTTCTTACTTTTTCGTCAATTTGTCAAGAAGTTCAAGAGATTAAGAAAATCAGACAAAATGCTCCAAATGGAGGCTGAAATGGCTGAGCATGATCACGAAAGAGAACAAAACTTGCGAGAGGTTTGTTCAGAAGTTGAAATTGTATTGTATGTTCGAATTCTTTAGTTGGAAGATACTCTCGGAAGCTTGATAGGGAAGCCGTCTAGATCATACCTTGGGCAAATAGATGAGAAACTAACGGTTAACGAACGGGTTTGATAAATTTATATTGCTTGGCAACATTTTTGAATAATTCTTCAGGTTAACTTGTTTGAAAAGCGATTGGCTGGTATGGAGGAGAAGCTCGAAACAATCGAAACGCTCTCGGGTAGCATAATGAAATTTATGCAGTAAGCATTTAATGACCAAAAGTGTTCTTGATTATTCCATTTTTTTTCTCAAGGGAAAAGGCGTTGTTGACCCCGCCTTCGCCAACAGTTGCACCGACGTTATCAAGAAGAACGAGCAGACTTCAGCGACAACGAACAATCGACATAGCAACTACAACTCTGCATGAGTATTCCGAAAATGACGATGAAGAGGATGAGCCAGACAGCTAGCATACTTCTTCCTCTTTCCATATTAACTTAGATGATGTTCGGGTAATTTTGAATTTGTACACTACGCTTTAAATAATAAAAATAACTTTGAAACTCACGTTCTCCTTTGTAAACCATCCATGGTAGTTGATAAGTCCAGCATTCTCTTGAAGGTAGAACTGAACCCAGTTATTGAAAGAAACAACTTTTCCAGAGGTTTCCTCTCCGAAGAAAAGGGATTTGAATCCTGAAACGATATCATTCTGTCTAATTTTGTTTTTCTTTTCTATCTACTAACCTGAGCTTGAAGGTACTCCTCCATTACGTGAGAAGAGAGTGAACCAAATTGAAGTAACCTGCTCTTTGAAAGTTTGAAGATCATTTGAAGCCATTCCTTGAAGAAAACCTCTTTAAGGGTATTTTATATTTTCGAACCATGATTGTACAAGAAGTTTTGAGCGGTCTTCATGACATTGGTGTTGAGAACATCATCTAAGAAATCTGAGATAGCAGTATTCCAACTTGGGGTACGGTTTTCAGCAACAGTAGCATCTGCTTGATAGAACTTCTGGAAATCAATTGCGAGAATGGATGATTTATTGAGTTGACTATTACCATCAAGTTTTGCAGAGAAGTGAATGTTGGTCGTTGAAGAACTGCTGGGTCGACCGAGGTGAATAAAGGTTTTGGAGCATTGTCATGATCGAAGTGGGCTTTTGAAGCCATATTCTGTACAAAAGACGGAGCTTTATTTTATTATTGAAAAAAGAAACCTGATAGTTAAGCTGAACTTTGGCATCGACTCTGTCATCAGAACTAGCCAGTTGGCTCAAAAAAGTAGTCAGAGTGTTGGGATCAACATCGAAATTATCTCTAATTACATATGGAGAAACTGAAACAATGCTATAGAGATTCGGAAACGGAAGCTCATCTACCTGAGACAGCTGAAGCTATCAGAACCCAAAGGTTTGCTAGAAGCATCCTGAAATATTAAAATAAAGATTAAGAATGAATAGAAAACGTGTTGATCTAGTCGAAACCTCCGAAATATTGAGCTGATATGTGCTTCTAAAACGAAAACGATGTCAGGGCGGAGTCTTTTGACGTCACCACTCCTTATGTTTTCCGCCAAGAGGCGTATATAAATCTTATCAGTTGGAGTTAAAGCACATGATCGAATTGGGATAAAAACGGTTTAAAACCTGACTATGATATGGTTTGTTTGATTCAGCAGGTTCGTTGAAGCTTCTCTTAAAAGGTATGTTCGTAAAGTATTCCTACGAATTTAAAAAATATTGCATGTGATGGGTGTTTCCATGAAACTTCACTGTTCAGAACTATTTTGGTCAGATGGTTCCGCTCTCTAAGCGTACAGTTCAGAATAACTAAAGTGATAGGAGTTTTACTTCGTTCAAAGTTTAAGCTGATAAATGAACTGAAGTTCATTTGTGAAATCAGAAGAGTGCGGAAAACCCCCCAAATGAAACGATAACTTTGCTTTCTTCTTATGAATCATATCGTATGTCCTGTACATGGACCGCTTTCCTTAATTGCTCCTAAGAAAAAGTAATTTGACGTGGAAACGATCGTAATTGGCAGAGACAAGCGTGCGTTTCCACGATAGCTCATAGTTTGAAGCTTCATGCTGACGTTTGCACTATCTGATCTGATAACGATAATCAAACCGACTTGTCCTTACTGACATCTCTCCTGGTTTTCCATTCTCTCATAAAAGTACTTTCCTTTTCTCAAATTTTAATGATAGACCTTTATTTATTCAGTAAATCGTTTTTGATCTTCTTTAACGATTCAAATCAGTTTTGGAAATGCTCGGTAGGAACTGTATTGAGCTTCTGACGTTTTTCAAATGATAAGTCGCCTTAGTCAGACAATTAAAGAACGATTGCCTTTCTCCATTCAACGATCACGTATGAGCTGAGGAATAATCAAATCAAATCAAATCAATATTTTTATATTATATTATATAATATGTAGCACATAAATGACATTTACAAGTGAAGTAATTCCAATTTGTTTCAGAAAACTTTCAGAAAGTTTTCTTGTTGTATGCAATAGAAGATCTCTACCTCTTCTAAACATCTGCCCGCTCATTTGATTTTTCTATCTGTCGTCGCTCACGCGAAGATGATGAAGCTCCTTGTCGACGCTCTCCTGAAGGGGAACGATTCGATGAGCCTTTCTCGGTCGATTTACCAACGCGCATTTCGAAGCGACGCGTCGAACCATCCGAGTCCTTCGGAAAAAATTCATATATATATAGAGTATTGAGTTTGCTAAGGTACCGATTCCATTCTTTTCCGTGGAGGAGACATAGAGATTCTAAACCGTGGTGCCCGAGGTGTTTCGGGTGCTCGAGGAGGCTTCGGACTATCATTAACAAGAGGCCTAGAATTCAATAGTATTCATAAATTTCGTGGGGACACGTTACCGGTCCGGTATCAATCGAGCTTTCTCGTCATCCGTGCCCTCATCCGTTGACAGCATGTCTCCCATTATAGGCGACATCATCGCCGAAGTATAACTACTGTGAGGGTTGGTAGTGTACCAAGTACTTTCTGGAAGTGGTGAAGGATCTGATAAGGAGCCATCCGCTGAAGGTGGACGAGTTGGATCCAAGTTCGAACCACTTTCGTTCTTGGGTAAAACGCTAAACGGATTGCAATCAGTGCTCCAATTGTTGTGATAAACTAACCCATACATAGCAGTATGCTCAGTACGAATAGGCTGTAACAATCTACGAGCAGTTTGTTCAATTTGCTGATTCGTAATAGCTTCTTCCAACTGTGCTACAGGCAAAGAGGCTGTTTGTGATACACTATTTGTATAAGAATCCAATCTAAAGTAAGTGAAAACATTTAAAGTTTCAGATTATCTCCACGTACTCATCCGTCTCACGATATGGAGCAGCTGAGTGTGTTCGTCTCTGTTCATAATCGTCCATTGGGTTCGTTATTATTCTTGGATGTCTGGAAAAAAAGAATTGAACAAAATATTGGTATAGAATTCACAAGAGTACAACCGCTTTCGGTATGAGCTAAATTAAAATGAACTCGAACGGAATATGTTGTTTCTCACGTATGCAAATTCGCCGGCTTCAACTAATCAGTATACTTACGTTGTGTCTACTTCTAGCTGAGAAGTTATGTTGTGATATCCTCCTCGACCACTACGGTGACTTTTCTCATCAGAACCTTTAGAATGCCGACCACCCGAGTCATTCATTTCATGTGTTAGGGAACGTTTTATTTCTTCTTCACTTTTTCGACTGGGATCAGAACGTTCTTTCTTATCCGCACTTCTTTCCATTTTTGGCAGCAGGTATCGGTTTTCTGAACTATGGCGATCAGAGTCCTCTTCGTCCTCTTCATCTTCATCTTCTTCTTCCAATATTCCACGCTCTTTCGATCGGTTTCTGCCCTCTTCTAGTTGCATGGGCTCTTCCATTATAACAGGATCATATCTGAATGAGATTGTAATAAAAGCTCGAGAATGGTTATATCATACTCTCTCGGGTCCGCCCAACCAATACAAACAAGTATTTGTTGTCGTATACTTAATTTAGGAGGAGGATGTTGATGTTCGCTTAAATCTTCATCCTCATGTTCCTCTCCGTCACTATGATCAACTTCCGAAACAGATCTGTATGATAGTACATATTACTCTATGGTTCTTGAAAACGAAGCTCACCCCAAAGATGGAACGAAATGACGTTCCATTCTCTTTGAAGGTCTTGAGTGAGATTGAGAGTCGTCATCCTAAACATTTTATGAACATATCAATAAGTGTTCTGTATACCGATGAATACTGATTTCCAGTACTGAAGACAGGTTTCACGCTAGCCTCGTTCTTTAAGTTCTTTGGCAAGCGACCCTTATCTTGTTTCTTTTTGCCTCCAGCCAATTCAAAAATTTTCTTCTTCTCTTCTGTTCGTTCCTTAATAGAGATTATAGTTCAAGAGAACCTCATATCTGATATCTTACATGCATGAGCTGAGTAGTTAAATCAGTGTTGGCTTCACGAAGACCACGAATGAGAGCAAAAAGGAAATAAATGACCAAACTGAAAATATGGTTTCGTATCCGTATTCATGATAAGCAACGTACAGTAACAAAACCAAAACTGGGATAACAATTCCTGGTGACATCATATATTTAATGGCTTCTACTAGGTTCGCAGGCAAGTTTTCATTAAGCACATTAGTGATTACGCTGTAGAAGTGCGTCTGATCCCTATAATAAGAAAATAGCATCTGACTACTTGCTTAGATACGTACCCAAATGGCCCACACATTTTGCTAGGTTTCCGCGATGCTATAACGTAGCCTACCGGTAACGTACAGAGAAATAACATAAGCAAGAGGAGCATGAGATAAAAGTTTGAAGATCTGAACGTGGATACTGGATTAAGGAAAGATTAAGCTGGAAGATGTCTTACCGACTGGCTCGGAAAATCTGACGAGCAGGCACATTACACGTCATCACTGCCCATGCACGAACATACATTAGTATTATTAGTTTAATATTATTGAATATAGGGAGCATGGGTACAAAAAATAGGCCCAACCAAATCATTCCTTGATTGTTCACCAAGTGAAGAACATTCTCTGCTACTTTGAACTCCCCGTACTCAGGCTTAAACTTATATGAGAAGATTTCAGCTTTATGCAATCTTACGAATGTTTTTTCCAGATTCCAACACCACCATGTGTTACAATACCTACACATCAAACCACGTAAAAAGTCTATGACCAAGATGGCTGCAATTGTCATCAATAGATCCATAGTAACTAGCTTTGTAATTTCCTAGAACGCAAGTTGGACACCTTACTCGGAAAAATAAAACCTGGCCAATAATGGTTTCCCAGCACATATCTTTATAAGCAGGCATCCGATAGTTTTGTGTGTATGTAACGCTTGGACCTGACGAATAGTTAACACGCACTTCCGTTGCGTTCCAGTTAAGATTGGGACCAAGAACCTGAGTCACTACAATTGGCCCATTATGGTCCAAATTATCCCTCGACATGACAGCTTTAGGATTAGAAACACCAAGAGGTCCAAAGTCTGAGAAAACCTGAAAAATTTTATATTATTCTACAAAACAAAAAAAGTATTCCGTTGCGGGGAATCGAACCCCGGCCTTATGGGTGAGAGCCATAAATCCTAACCACTAGACCACAACGGACACACACTAACGTTCAGAGATAGAAACTTTATCGTGACTAGGATTGCTCAGTCTTGTGTAACAAAACGATTGAATTGATTTGTTGAAGATAGAACAGAGATGAAGTTTAAGCATAACACTTACAGTTGTCCACACTGGTGGTGGTTTTGGAGTTGTAGTTACAGGTTCATAACGGAAATACTGATGAGGAGTTGGAGTTGGAAGACCTAATATTTGTCTTAGAGACCTATAAAGAAAAGTTTAAAGTGGCAGCAAAATATGCTTTCAACCTTGAGAAAGAAGCATTACCAGCATGATGAAGAATACTTTTTTCCATGGCTAACTTATGAGAATCCTGAAAATGTATAGGATAAGGTATAGCGGTATTCTAAAAAGAAATCACTTCTAAGACTTTCCGCTCGCTTTCCAAATCATTCAATTTGATCATAAGTGAAACGATGAGAGTATAATAATTAACAATATACAAACATAATACCCTAGAATAAAGATAAATTACAAATTTGAATAGAAAAAGCGCATACCTAGCCAATTGAATACGAAGAGCTGAGCGGGGATGGTATTGCTCCATTTTACCAATTAAATCAAATATATTCGGATAAATCAAAGTAATGAAAGACACAGTGATCGAGACCGCATTCTATGAATTTAGAAGCTTGATTCATATTCTACCGTAATCTTACCTGTTTGATGAAAGTATCGGCTTCTTTAATCTTGCTCATTGCTAAAATGACCCAAACAGAGAAACCCATCATAAGGAATACAATAATGTTGGCTACTAATCGTAGAAAGATTTGAACCCATCGGAATTTTTTCTTCATATTAACGTTATATTCAGCTATAGCTTCCTGTAAACATAGATGAGAAGTACAAAACACAGAAGTCTCGTCGTATACCCGGAATTTGATAACATTAGCCATATGGACATTGCCAGCCGTTTCGGCATTACCAATTGTGAAATCCCATCCAGTGAATGATTTCCAGTTGAATAGATATTGTTCAGTTTTACCACTAGATAGCTTACTGTTCCTAGCATTAGATGCCATTCTCAAATAAATCATATAAGACTCATCACTGTAAAACCTTCTTACTTCCTTAATATAGTGAAGAAACTATAGCCAAGAACAAAGATATTAACTAAGAAGTAAGCGACTGGGACTCGGTATTTGATTGTTTCACCAAAAAATGTTTCTCGTGAATAGTAGCCGTAGAACACAAGTGAGTACTGTACGTATCCCTGCAAATATGAAAGTTTAGAATTATAAATGTTTTATCTTCTCACTCCAAAGTCCCAAACTGTCGAAATCTCGTCAGCTCTCTTGCGAACATCTGGTGGCATGACTTTCATTGCAAAAGTTCTATTATACCGTTCAGAGCCGATTTCCATTCGAGAATCAGCCAACCACTTAAAGATATATGATCCTACTATTTCAAATGCTTATTCTAACCTCAGGAATGATGACAAACAACAACATGATTAAGGTCATAATTATATTAACGCCCAAGGTCCATCGAAGGAAGGTGAAGTATGAAGAGACAACGGAACCAAAATGACCTAAACAACTCATAAGAATACTTTATAAACATTGATTAACAAACTTTCTATTCTTTTAATCTTGGCTTCCCAGGGAATGAGATAAATTTTGAAATTATCAAACCATCTACTCATTTGAGTTAACTTCCTCCCAGCTTCTGCCTTATATAAGCGAACTTTGGAAACTTTTGCCTCTTGCCTTTGAAGATGCCTCTGCGCTACTCTGAAGGTATAGGGATTACTTGGAAGAATAGTGAAACAAACTTCAGCGTTCTCCTTTTTCTTTTCATGCTCCATGGCTGACTACGCAGTTTACCAATAATCTCCCTTTTATGTCGAATTGCTTCAAGAATTCGATCTTTCGACATATTTCTAGTTTCCTCCTCGTCATCTTCGTCCTCTCTAAATTTCAGAGGTGTTTCACACTGATTAGTTAGAATAACTTACTCATCTCCACTCATGAATTTCGTACTTAACGTATGTCGTTGCAAAACACTAGACGACCGACGGAACAATGACATTAAGTCAACCTAAAATAGTTTTTAAAATTAATTCCTCATAACATGGTTTAGTGCTTACCAATACAGAAGAACGCCGACTTAAACGGCTCTCGATTTCTTCATCTGTTGTAGTGCCGCCCTCGGTCACCGACTTGACCGTTAGGGCCCCTCCACTTTCTAAAATAGATAATGTAGATTCGACAAAAACGAGAAAAGCTTTACCATAGCCCTGTTCATCAACCTCCTCATTAATCAGCGGCCGTGAACTTTCATTGCCAAAACAGTTTGGCATATCTCCAAAGCCTTCTTCCTAACGAGAGTTGCCGCTTGAAGGCCTGTTGGCCAATACTAAGATACAACTGCAAAAAGGTGTGAATATAGGAGCTAATAAAATGTTTCGAAGCGAAATTTATGTTTGAGAAAGTTGTTGGAACGTCAACAGTTTGATGACTTTTTTTTAAGCAAATGAACATCGATAATGAGCTTTTCACAACTATCTTGTCAACGAGAAATGTTTAGCATCGAGCAACTGGCATTTCAAAACTTAAAAACGGTTTGATTGTTCGAGCTCATCCATAGATCGGATGAAGCGCGAGTGTTACAAACTCATAGGAGTCAGAAAGTGCAGAGCTTGAAATGTGAAAAGGAAATAAAATATAATAAGATAAAATAAGAAGATTTTCGTACAATCACGGGTTAGCCTTATCTCATTCTATCTCTGATCCACTGCTTATAGTTGTCAAAAAAAACGACTGAGATTTAAGAGAATTTTGGTGTAAAAAGCAGGGAACAAATCATGTCGTTAGAATCATAAGCTTAGATAGATATAATAAACTAATAATAGATGAATAGTAAAATAATTTTCATGTGGACAGGACAAGAATGAACTGAGAAGTGTAACAATCAGAGTCAATCGGACATTTGTCGGGAATTTTGGACACTTCTTGGACCTCACCCAACAATTCTTTCCATTGTTCCAGGAACACATATGATGTCATGAAGCAGCTTGTTTAGACACCTGCTATTTTCACTTCAAGATATATACAAAATGATTGAACTTAAAAGGAACTTAAATGTGTTCATCATAGTTATCGCATTGCATTGCAGAAGCTTCCACGTTTAACACCTTGAAGCTATCCGATTACCTAACAGAAAAAACAAGCATGTAAAAAGTACTGAAATCGAATAACTACTTTGAGTAGCATTGACCGAGAGAATCTTGAGAAAAAAGCATTGGAAACTAATCTATTTTAATCATAAGTCAAGAAATTTGTTGGTTTAACAGTTATAGGATATGATGGATGAGTTGGAAAACAAAGTGGAAATAGTTTTTTATTTTATTCGAAACGATTCTTTGAAATGTTGTTTGGATTCCGAAGTTTTAGAGTGCTATAGCTATTTTTGTAATCGCTTCCATGTGAGTTGACGAATATGGGTTGATTCACATACACGAAGATGCTGAGAGCGGTTGTACATCAGGAATGAAAACAGAATAACCGCAAAAACAGTAAAAGCGGCTATCAACTCATGAAAAATAACTTCCAAATAGACTAAGCTGATCATTCACTAATTGATATGCGCCAAAAAAGGTTATGGGAGGCATGTTAGGGGCGATCAGGTGAGACACACAAGCCATTGGTATTATAGCAGTTGGTTTTTACGTAGGATTCATCCAAATGTACTCGAACCAACTGTCATAGAAAATATCCAGCAAGCAATGTATTAATCTCCTGACAGCTACCAATTGGTTTCGTGGACAATTACTTGACCAGTTCCGTAAGGAATAATTACTTCAGTTGATAGATCACAAATGTTAAAAATTATCGGAGGTGAAAAGTCGAGGCAAGGCAACTGCTAAAGCCGTTAGACACGAAAATCAAAAGTTGGCCAAGATGTCTAAAATGATGATGCGGAAGACTTTTGATGCAATAATACTACGAGTGCATCTGATTTAAAAGAAATAAACACATATATAAGTGAAGGCTAAAAAACGGAGTTCAAAACGTATTAGCGAGAAAACAAAAATACCCGTTCCAGAAATCGGATCGTGGAATGGTCAGGAGTTTATTTTTGTCGTAACTATTATCAGTTGAATTAGCTTCACAAAGAGCAATGCATTCTTTCTTTTCTCTCACAGGCATTTCTACATTCTGGCATCTCTCCTGTTGACTCTCCTCTCTTAATAATTCTTTCAGTCTGAACAGATACCTCTCTTGGATTTATCTATATCTTACATTCTCTCTCCCTCTCTCTCTCTCTTTCTATTCCATTCAGCTTCCTCAGATGCTTCACTCTATGTCACGTTCTTGCAACAAGTGAGTCAGGAAATCAACAGCTGCTACTCTAAGATGAAATACTTAACGGATTTGCCAATAGGTATTCTACAATCATTGCATAGGTTTCTAAACTGTATTCGCGGTAACAGTATTCAATCTTGAGAGTGCAGGGAAGTGAGTTTTTCGCATAGTAAAGATGAAGCTGAGCAATTATTGAATAATTGAAATAACTAGATCATGAACATACTGGTAAGCGTACAGCGTTGTTAACTCGTTCGAAAAAGATATCACTGTCAGCTATGGGACGTACAACTTGGAAAATATGATCAGGAGTGTGTTTGTATTTCTAGTAACGGTTAGGTTGAATAATCGAGAGATCATCTCAAATTACGAAAATCAACTTCCTGCTTTTACTAAAATCTCAGGGAGGTGGAGTCATAGGAACAACATCAAATGAAAAAAGAATTGATAAACAAAGTAATTAAGATAACATTAAAAAGCTAAAAAAGAATTTACCTAATGCCTGCTTCTACCACGACCCTAAGAATACTCGAGTGTTACAACAAAAGATCTACCACCGGCTGTCCCTGTTCGCGCATTTCCTTTAGGTTGAACATACTAATAGATTACAACGAAGTAGGTGAGATAAGCAACACCTCATAAACAATCGATAGTACTTCTCATCATCCTACTCAATCCTCTGAGCTTTCAGAAATCGCTTGGGACGAATTCCCTATATTGGCCCGACAGTAGCAAATGTCAAGATTCAAAACTCAATAGAGCATCTGTTAGAACACTGAGCTTATACAGCACTATAGCACGGCTGTTCTACAGTTTAGCAATATAAAATTTCAAGAAAATAATATTATAACATGCTTTATATATCCATAACGCAGATATAGATAACAACGAACAACTTAACGGTTAGACTTGGCAACACGTTCGAGCTCATCTTTCTTCTTAATGGCGTAACTGTTGGATGATCCCTTAGCGGCGTTGATAAGTTCGTCAGAAAGGCATTCAGCAATGGTCTTGATGTTTCTGAAGGCAGATTCACGAGCTCCAGTGCAGAGAAGCCAGAGAGCCTGGTTTACTCTTCTGAGTGGAGCGACGTCAACGGCTTGACGACGGACGGTTCCGGCTCTTCCGATACGGGTAGAGTCTTCACGTGGTCCAGAGTTGATAACAGCGTTAACCAAAACTTGTACTGGGTTCTGTAGAGATATAATTAAGACACAGGTCATGATCAGAAAATATACCTCTCCAGTAAGAAGGTGGATGATTTCGAAAGCGTGCTTGACGATACGGACAGTCATGAGTTTCTTTCCGTTGTTACGTCCCTTCATCATCATAGAGTTGCAGAGACGCTCGACGATTGGGCAGGAAGCCTTGCGGAAACGCTTGACCTTAAAGAAAACAAAAATTAACATAAATTAAAAGATGGATGAACCTGGAAACGTCCAGCGGAGTGGGGAAGGTACTTAGCGGCCTTATCCTGAACGGAGATGTAGTCAACGAGGGAAAGATCGGAGACGTTAACATCACGGAGAGACCATTTGGAGAAAAGTTTAATCTGAAAAAACAAGTGTAACTTATATAATATTCAAAAACAATACCTCAGGAGCTTCGATAGCAACTGGAGCGTCGTAGACCTCGGCTGGAGTTTCCCAATCAGCCATGATTACCTACAAGAATAATGTTAAAAAAACATCAACCATTGCTTAAATACAGGTAAAAAGGATCAAATTAACATAAAACAGATAAAAATTTGAAAAATTAAAATGAAAATGGATATTGTCACATAAATATCTTAAGTTTCGACGTGACGGAGTTCATGATGTGATGAACTATGCGAAATTTCAATCTATATGGTGTATTTTGGGCCCTAAGCGTTTTGTTTAAAGGGCGGATGCTAGAAAAGATGTGTCCTACGGTGGCAGTTCGCTCCGCGCGGGACCAGTTTTTCAAATTCTACGTCATCTTAGGTCAAATCAACCAATCAGAGCATACCACGGTCAACTGTGGGCGGGGTTACGCCTGTATTTATTCAAGGAGCACATAAAACTACTCGCTAAAGGAAGAATATCATTAGGCATTGTGTCTCTGCGTTAGAAGGGAAACATGAAGCTCATTCTCGCTGCCCTCCGTAAGTTTTATTGAAATTACTTTAACTTTCAACGACCTATTCATAATAATGAAACTTTTTTCTATTCAATTTTCATACAGAAAACTTAACCGAAATCTTTCAGTCATTGTGGGAGCCTCAGCCCTCTTCTCTGGTAAAGATGATGTTGTTGAATTGACCGAGCAAAACTTCAAGAACAAGGTATTGAGCAGTGATGAAATTTGGATTGTTGAATTCTACGCTCCATGGTAATGAACCTATTCTTGATACTTCCTAACGAAATCATTTTAGGTGTGGTCATTGCAAGAACCTGGTTCCTGAATATAAGAAGGCTGCTACAGCCCTTAAGGGTATCGCAAATGTAAGTTTCGTCTGACCTTCGAAGTTTTGACCGAAATATTCAGGTCGGTGCTGTTGATATGACCCAACATCAAAACGTTGGTTCTCCATACAATGTCCGTGGTTTCCCTACCTTAAAAATTTTCGGAGCTGATAAGACAAAACCCATCGACTTCCAAGGTTAGTAGAACTATAATACATTCTGTTGCTTTTGCAAACCTGACATTTCCAAACTGTTCTGTCCATCGAGAGTAAATAAAGAGGAGCGGTATGCCATGGCACGGACAGTACCGCCGATCCTCAATGACCTCTTTATTTATTCTCGTTGACTGTGTGCTAATTGGAGGAGAATGAAACTGTTTGAATAAGGATCGATTCGTTTTAGGAGCTCGTACGGCCCAAGCTATCGCTGATGCCGTCCTTGCTGAAGCCAAAAAAGCCGTATCAGCCAGACTTGGAGGAAAGAGTTCTTCTGGAGGATCATCTGGATCTGGGAAGAGAGGCGGAGGATCAGGAAATGAAGTTGTTGAACTTACCGACTCTAACTTCGAGGAGGTATTGGTGTTTATATTCGACGGAAGTTTGAACTGTCATTTTAGCTCGTCATTAACAGCAAAGATGTCTGGCTTATTGAGTTCTTCGCTCCATGGTGCGGACATTGTAAAAATCTTGAGCCTCACTGGAAATCTGCTGCCGCCGAGTTGAAAGGAAAAGTTAAACTCGGAGCTCTTGATGCTACCGTCCATACTGTCGTCGCCAACAAATTCGGAATCCGCGGTTTCCCAACCATCAAGTATTTCGCTCCTGGATCTGACTACAGTGACGCAACTGAATATGATGGTGGACGTTCCACATCTGATATTGTCAACTGGGCTAGTGCTAAGGCTGCTGAGAATCTTCCTGCTCCTGAAGTTCTTGAAGGAACTAATCAAGAAGTCGTTGAAGGTTTGTGCAAGTTAAAATATTAAGATAACCTAAATGTTTCCAGAAGCTTGTAAGGATAAGCAACTTTGCGTTTTCTCTTTCCTTCCTCATATTCTTGATTGTCAAGCTGAGTGCCGTAACAAATATATTAGCACTCTTAAGGAATTGTCTGAGAAGTTCAAGAAGAACGCTTGGGGGTTAGTTTTAAAAATTGTAATGTTTTCCATGTTATGAATTTCAGATGGATCTGGGTTGAGGGAGGCTCTCAAACAGAACTTGAAGATGCTTTCGGAGTTGGAGGTTTCGGATATCCAGCTATGGCCGCTTTGAACTCAAGAAAGATGAAATTCGCTATGCTCAAGGGATCTTTCGGAAAAGACGGAATCCATGAGTTCCTTCGCGACTTATCTTATGGAAAAGGATCTACCTCTTCCGTTAAAGGAGCTGCTTTCCCTAAGATCTCCAAGACTCAACCTTGGGATGGAAAAGATGGACAACTTCCAGCTGAAGAGGAGATTGATCTCTCCGATGTTGATCTAGACCACACCGAATTGTAAAATTGTGTTTAGGCGTCCATAATTTTGTTCAGTCCTTTATGCTCTTAGAGATACTAGCCACTAGCCTCTGAGAAACCCCGGGTTAATCCTTTTAATAATTTATTTTCATTCTGGTCTCCTCTGTGTTATTCAAGTGCCTTGGGGCATGACTCTGTATCTATGTATCACCAGTTGTAATTATCGTTGTTTTCAACATCGATTTTTCGAATAAACTTCAACTTTTAATTTGAATTTCTGTTAATGAGAGCGTTTCCATGGGGTGGATAGTTGGATTGACTATACTAAGCGGCATACACTAGGCTATCAGACAAGTCGTTACCCTGGGGATGAAGCCACACCTTTTTGCAGTCAGTGTTAATACGCATTCATCCGAATTAGATTATTCCTCTGGTGACCAACCTACAAGCTAATTGATTTCAACTTCTTCTTTCCGTTCTATAATACTTTCGATCATGATTTTTTTTCTACCAAAAAAACTTCTTAATTTCTAATCAAAATGAATGCAACCGCTTTGCCTGCGAGCAAATTGGAAATAAAATCGAATTGCACGTTTTTTTCATCACGCAGGTTTCCACGGATATTGGAATAAATAATGTTTACTCATTAGCCTGTTGAAGTATTGACATATCGTAGATAAAAATAGCTTTTAGTTAAAAAAATGTCTGAAATTGAATAGATGAAATTAGTATTCATATTTCGATTGCGTTAAGAGAGCTGTCCATTTGAGGATTCATTCAGCCTTCTGCAAATTTCTTTCCAAAATACTCGGACAATTTAGTGATAATTTGAGCGTGTTTTGTCTCAACAACATATTCTAGTTCTTTTGCAAAGTGTGTTCAAATTCAGATTTGTTAGATTTCCCAGCTTCGAGAGAATGTTTTCTCTCTTGTTTTCCAAAGCTCATTTTCTTTTATTTCTTTCCATTTCTATTTTAATCTATAAGAACTGATATGTAGTGAAGAATAAAAGTTGCGATAACAAGTTTTGTGTGGCATTTGAATGCATAAAATTGAAATTTTAGGTAATGATTCCCAAATCAACATTTGATTCCATACAACAGACGGAGAACTTGACAGAAAATGAATTTACTTCTTTGAACTTTCTGAGTCCAGGGAGCGCGAAGAAGGCTGGCAAATGGGATACTCAAGGTTTACAGGTGACATTTGTTTTCAGCAATTGATTTAAATATTAATTCATTCAAATTGTTCGTTTCCTCAGCAATATGCGGGCTGCATTTATATAATGGAATGATTAGCTTTATTCAGGACGATGGAATTTGGGTGGTATCAGCTAGCTTCACAATTTTTACGATGACATCAGGCAAACAGGGAGCATACCTCTTTCTCTCTCATCAATTCTTATTATAGGATTCGGATTATTAGAATCAGGAAGGGTCTCTTCGAAAGATCAAGTTAACATTATGGTTAAAAATATAGTTTATGTCGTCTTCGGAGGTTTTGTTGCAGTAATTTTTCTGTAAATGCTCTGTCTAAGGCTTATCGTATTGGATGTTTGGATATGGATTAAGCTTTGGAAGTAGCGAGGCGCTAGCTAATCCATATGTAGGCATTGGTGATTTCTTCTTCGATCCAGAGGGCCTAGATGAGAATCAAGTAATTGATGATGAAAATATTTACGAAATGAGTATATTTCCCAGGAGGGGTGGACATACGCTTCTTTTATTTATCAACTGAGTTGTGCTACAACAACATCTGCGATTGTGTCGGGTGCGTTTCCTTTCCATTTAAAGAGAATAAAAAGAATTTTGTTGCAGCTGGGATGGCTGAACGTGTTTATCTGAAATCATACATTGTTGTTTCTTTCATTGTAACTCTGATGCATTCTGTACCCGCCCACTGGGTATGGTCAGAGAGTGGTGTTTTATATAACATTGGTGTAATTGATTTTGCTGGATGTAGCGTGGTTAGATTTTGATCTTACACATTTGAAAAGAATTTTCATACATGATATTTGACACGATACTTACTATAAAACTGCAGGTGCATTTGGTAGGAGGTGTAGCAGGTTTGGTAGCTACTATTTACCTGAAACCAAGGACGCATCGCTTTGGCGAGAATGGGCAGAAACGAATGAGTAATCCTACTAACTCTTTATTAGGTGAGCTCAATTTTTGGAATAGATAATCTCGAAGATTAATTGAAGGAACTTTTATGTTGTGGTGGGGATGGCTAGCTTTAAATGCTGGTAGTACTTATGGCGTTAGCCATGGTAAATGGAGATTAGGATCGAGGTAATTTGTTTTGTTTTTCATAATTTGGTAGTTGTACAACTGATGTTAACATTATTGAAATTATATTTCAGGTCAGTCATTTGTACTGTTCTTGCCTCAATGGGAGGAGGTTTATCAGCTCTTGTCCTGTCAAGTCTATTTGAAAAACAAGTCCGAATTGATATGATGATTGATGGTTTATTAGCTGCTCTAGTCTCTAGCACAGGTATATTAAAGCAAAGAGATCGATTCTCAACTACTGACAATGAAAGCTTGCTGTTCCTGCTTGGAGCCATGGCTAGCTATGGTGGTGGGAGCGATTGCTGCCTTATTGGCGCTTGCTAGTTATCCCATATTGGAAAGAGCAAAAGTGAGAATTCTAATGAAATGTTAATCGAAATATGAAAAGATTGACGATCCGGTTGGAATTGTTCCTGTTCATGTTATTGGAGCTGTGTGGGGAATGATCAGTACGGGAATATTTGCAAGAGATGACCCATTCAACGTTTGTTATGCTGATATTCTCATTCTTCCGGTTTTTGTAGTTTGAAGTAACACGTAAACAGAATGGAATTCTATATGGAGGTGGCTTTTCACTGCTGTGGTCTCAATTAACGGCCGTGGGCACTATATCTATATGGGCTTGTTTAGTAGCGTTCATAACATTATATGTTGTACTTTATACGTTCACTGGAACAACTTTTTTTTTCTTTCAAGGTTCTACAACGATCGCCATTAGGCTTACGTTTGAGTCGATATGAAGAAGAATTAGGTTCAGATCTACGTGAGCATGGCATTCGTGGGCAGTATGTGGCTCAATATCAGACAGAAAAAAAACTGAAACCAAAGTAAATACTCTTTTTTTCGATTTCATATCATTATGAAAGTTTAGAACAGTTGCAAATGTCATGATGATCATGATGAAATGGAAACAGAAGGCTAAAACTAGATCTTCGCGACGAAAAGCTTATGAAACTCAGAATATATGGTCTAGTGACATGGAGCTTACCCATCGGTCGCATGCAGTACCATGCTCAGATATCATTTCATATCCATCCCAATAATGGTCAAAAAGGGTATCAGAATGACTAGTAATTAATCGGGTATAATATATATAATATATATTTACATAATATTAAAACAAGACAAGTAATAATAAATATATTCGAAAAACGTTTTTCCTCGAAAAACTGACATCGAGCGCTATCTTAGCGTTGGTATGTTCGATCATTTTGATAGCTGTTCTTAGCGATTTCAGAAACATCCGCACGAATTCCCACAATTGCATCTTCCAAATCGCCTTTTATAGTGTTCTCATATCGGAGTTGCTCATGCAAACATCTGCGCCAGTTTTCCAGACCATAAAACTCAGATTCTCTCTTAAACGAAATACAAGATGTTATGATTAATGAGAAGATGAAATTACAGTCAATTGCTTGAGAAGAAACTGATCTGAAGGAAGAGGAGCCTTCTTGCCATCACGCAAAAAGTGCAGAACATGAGCGAATAATTCTCCATCCCGATTGACGAAAATTGCATTTTGTCCGTCATCCTGAAAAAAAAGCATAAGGATGAGTACATTAAGCGAAATAAAAAAAATAAAACACAATTGATTGAAAGAGGAGAAAATGACAAACTGAAGCACACTCATCAGCTTTGCAACTAATGATTATAGAACAAGAACTGTGATTAGTAACAACCAGTCAGATTCATATACTTTACTAGATTTTATCGAGATTATCATTATTGACTGACCGTGAAATATCGGTGATAAAGGAGAACTTTTCCGGACGCCTCGTCGATTCTGATAAATTGATTGAAAAATACGCTTTTTGATCGAGCAAGCGTTTCATATAGAGTTGCATAACTGAAAAAGATTGCTTGTCACACAAGTTATATAAAACATAATCGTATATGTTACGTCATCATACGAAATTTGCGTTCACGGGAAATAAGCCACGTGAAGACATTATTTCAAATAATTTGACAAGATGAACTGGTTGCTTTTTTTCTTATAATCATTTATTCAGTTAAAGAACAAACAAACCGTTTTCCTCCAACATTCAAGTGTACTATTTCAGTAGCATGGTGAGCTGAGACATCTTGAAGACTCTAAATGAAAGTATGAGTATACAAGTGATATGAAGACCTCAAACTACAAGTAGTTTGATGCTGTTTTAGGGTTTTCTGTTTCAAAACTAAACTACATGGTAATATAATGTATAATTACCGATATGGATTTAGAAACACTTCTCGAGGTAGACATATTTCAGTGGGTTACTAAAGTAAGTAGATTAATTATATGTAACGATTTGGTTGAATTGGAGCACACCAAGTTAGTCTAGACATGTTGCAGAAAAAAATGAAGAAGAAGCATTAGTATAAGAAACACAAGAATTATTATCAAAATGAGTTGGTAATGTTAAGAGATAGCATTTTATTATCATATCTTCGAATGACTTACTCATACCCTCGGGCAAAGAAGCAAACGAAAATGAGGAGGCTTTATCGGTATGCGTATTAGTTTATTTACATTTATGGGTATATTCTAGATTATTTCGAAACTGCCAATGATTTCAGAAAATGTGTATCAGGACAGGCAAGTAAAGTAGTGAGGTTCTATTGAATTGCTGTTTGCGAGCCTTTTATGGCATTCCACAACAAACTGATAAGAAACTTGAATGAATTGAACATATTCTGATGTTCTATAGGAATATGAAAAACCACAGGAAACGAAGAAGAAGAACAAACCTTTGCATCCCGAATTTCGGGCTTGATGATCGAATTCCGGTACTGCAGGGGCTGAGAGACATGGATTGAATTGCGCTTCTGGAGGCTAGCGGAAGAATGCAAACTACTACCAATGTGGACATATTCGCGTGGACGTTGTGTCATTTCGAATACCAAAATGAATATGCACCACTAGAAAATCAAGAAATGCACGAATACATGTGTGGAACAAGGTCACAAATATGCTCTTCAGTTGGGCTGTCAAGAGCTGTCTGCGAGAAAAAAAACAGTAAAAAACTTTCAAAGCGCAAATACAAAAAGTTCTTGAAACACAAATCTAAACAAAGGTCGCAATATCTTTCAATAGCCTATGAAGATAGTGGAGTAGCTAGTGCAACAGCAGCAAGCTAACTGCAAAACAGAAGAAAGAGAATGCAGTCTGAAAAGCAGCTAGGATGTTGAGTTGATTATGGCAGCATCCGTCTGACGAAAGTGGTCCTAATACATTTAGGCCTTAGGCAAAGCACCATAAAACACTCGCTACGCAGTAAGTTCACACTTTTTTGAGTTTGAAGATGTTGATGTCAGAGGTGTTCAAGTCATATTTAGTCAAGAGTATTTTTCAAGCACACGGACGAGAAAATCAGCAGAAAAGGAGTAAACTTCTCATGCGACAGTTGAAGATTGAAGTAGCAGAAGGTCTAGAGCGGCTTAAGGTCAGAGAAACAGTTCAAAATGTTTAACGTATGAGAGAAGCAGAAAGATGGAAGGGAATTCAACTGTATACAAGTAACACATGTAGGAAACAATGTTGACTAGTGACGAGTAGTCAATAGTACTAAGACGAACAGCCAACACAATTTTACACACGGTCCTGTGCGGTCAAGTGCAAATACGGCTAAACGCTGATAAAGACATTTGCTTGCTAAATTATTTTTAAATTTCCCATCGCTCTTAATAGTCATAGATTGTGAGAGACGAAACTTTCTGAAGTCTCTTCAACCATCGTATAATGATAACATCAAATAGATAAGTTCATTTCATCAACCAGTTAAAGCATAACAATCGCAACTGCACTGATTTTTCCATCTATTTAGAATCACAAGGTGATAACTAAGGCAAAAAAAACTGAGTTCACATGATAACAAGGCTTTGCAACATTTTAAACAAACAAGGATCGAATTTAGCACAATGGCATTTGGTTTAGACTTCGTAAGGCACGTACATGTCATTGGTTTGTTGGGTCACACGGATAAAAGTAGCTCTTTTGGGCAGTTCCTGCAATATTTGAATTAGATGGACTGATTATCTAATTGAGAAACCTTCAGCTTGGTTGATCCAGTGTAAGTACACGCAGAGCGAATTCCTCCAAGAAGGTCAAGACAAGTACTATTGGCGTCACCTCTGAAGTTATTAATTAGGAGAAGGAGGAAGTTATCAAGTCACCTATATGGAACGGTGATTGTTTTTCCTTCACTTGCTCTGTATTCGGCGACGCTTCCGTGATGTTTCTTCATGGCAGTATCAGAACTCATACCGTAGAACAGTTTGTATTTCTAAAGAGACAGCCACTTAATACGAAACTATAGTGAAACGCACTTTGCCATTCTTTTCAATAACTTCTCCACCACTTTGGTCGTGACCAGCGAAAAGGCCACCAATCATGACAAAGTCAGCACCTAAACATAAGTTGATGACCATATCGAATTTTATAGGTAATTACCAGCTCCGAAAGCTTTGGCAACATCTCCAGGATTAGTGCAGCCTCCATCGCTCATGACATGTCCATTAAGACCATGAGCAGCATCAGCACACTCAAGTACCTGAACGAGCCTCTAACTCTCGTGTATCAAAAACAAAACTTACACAACTCAATTGTGGGTATCCAACTCCTGCCTTCTTACGGGTAGTGCAAACAGATCCTGGGCCAATTCCAACCTTAACAATATCAGCGCCAGATAGGATTAACTCTTCCACCATTTCGCCGGTGACGACATTTCCGGCCATGATAGTATGTCTTTAACGAACAGACTTTTGACAAATAGAAAGATAGATCGCTACCTTGGATATTTCTCTCTAACTTTTCTGATGAAATCAACAAAGCTTTCCGAATATCCGTTAGCTACATCAAGACATATGAACTCCAAGGAGGGTACAGCTTCGAGAATTTGTCCCAACTGAAGACGAATTATATTAAAATATGAAAAACTTAGTAAAACCTTTGTGAAATCAGCATCAGATATACCGGAAGAGACAGCTGTATGATTGAAAACATTAGGATCTTGGTTATTCTCGAAGAATGACCTCCATTCTTCAACCTAGAAATGATACTTCTATGACTATTTGTAGAAAATTTAACGAACCGTATAATGTTTGTGAATTGTGGTGAACATCTTATGCTTGGAGAGAGTTGCTGCCATTTCGAAAGTTCCAACGGTGTCCATGTTGGAAGCAACAACTGGGATTCCAGCATAAGTTTTTTTAGAGTTCTTAAACTCATATCTGTAAATCGGCTAAATTTGAATACTGTAAGAAGTCTACTTACTCTCGAACGAGATCGACGTCAGCTCGACTCTTCAACGTCGATCTTTTTGGACGTAGGAGTACGTCCTTGAAGTCTAACTTCGGTTCGAATTCAATTCTAGGCATACCTAAAAAACACGGAACAATAATCGGAGAAAAAGTAATGTATCACGACTAGTATGGCAGACAAGACAAAATAGGAGATAAGAAATAAGTAGTGGCTACTTATCAACTGGTCAAAGAAGAGTTCTTAGCTCCTTTTTGATTATAAGCTTTATCAAAAGCTTTCTACGAAAACTGAAGATAAAACTATTGCAAGCAACGCAAAATTCAAACTTTCAGTATAGTACGTGAATCTACACACCATTCACAGCATATATACTACGGTGGTCTCATTGGAGCGCCGTTAAGTCCAGATGTAGAAAAACGAATTATGATCCTCATTGTCAAAGTCTGGCACGATGAAAAAGAAACAATTCTCAGATGAAAAAGATAAAAACATGAAGTTCAGCCGTAAAGAGGATAATGCACATTACCAGTTGTTATCAACATAAACCTGACGAAAATCCAGATTACAACAATACACCGCCCAAATTCCGCAATGAGAACGGTTTACTGACTCATTACTAAACTGTTCCGGTAATTGCAGTAATCTGCTTTTCACATTATGGAATTTTGGGACAAAAACGTCTACGTGATTGGAACGATTTGAAAAAATCTGTCTAAGAAGAAGAAACGACGTAACAGCTGTCGATTGCCAAGCCCACAAGGAACTTGAAGTATTAATCACTACAGAACTACTCCCGAAGAACAATCGCAATCTCTCAAAACTTCATTGCACAACCACCAGAAAACGATGAAAAACTAGAAATAAGAACATAAGAAGCTTTCCAAGCACAACAAACTCAGGAGAGGAACTGAATTACGACTTGTGAAGCTAGAAACGTCAAATTACTCGAAGAGATACCTTTTTTCCACAATCTCTACCGCCCTTTAACCTTTTTGAATGAGGCACCATAAACGCGCCAAGCCAAGTATACGCAAAAAAACTAAGAATAGTAGATTCGTTCAGTTCCCTGTTGCAGAGTAAGAAGAGAAATGATGTGAACTGTCTCACCATATCTTAGAAGTAGTGTAAGTTCATGTGGGAGTTATAGAGAAGAAGTTGATGTTTAGATTCTTTTTAACATCCGCTTGGATCTGATTGTAACTGAAGCAAAATCTCAAACAAAGGTGCTGTGGATTAGAACATATTTGGATATTCTCAACTTGTTCGAAATCGTACTGTTCAACATATATCACCATAGAACTGTTTCATTCCTAAAAAAAGGCATTTTGGTGATCTTAACACGAGGGTTCTAAACCACTCATAGTACGAGTATAGATATGAAAAAAGAATTAATAAGAAGATCTCTCGAAAGCTTCGTTCAAAACTTGAATGAATCTCAGAGTTGGAGATTTAACGATGCCCTCAAAAATGAACTCACTAATATACTAGAAAACGGTTCCATTTATCTATGCGTTGTAGAATTAATGAAAGATCAGCAAAAAGCCGAAAGGTTCGTTCACTTATTGATTTCGATATATACTTAATCTACCTTTAGAACACTCTATGAAGACCGCACTCGCATGTTGGTTAACTTCCAAGGCGATCCCGAACTTGAACAGAAGCTGTTAAACTGTGATTCCAAAATTGTTGAAGCAGTGGATGAAGTCATTACAATCTTTTTTTTCAAATTTAAATTCTTGTTTTCAGCTTGTGGAGAGACAACAAGCTGTTCTGCGTGGAAAGAATGTACCTTCCTTTCGCGTAACTAAGAACACTCATGAGATACAGCTGCAAATGCTAATAATCGAATTCATCCTCCAACTAGATTGCTTTCCATAACCAATCCGGTCATAGAAACTACAACGCTGTAACAATATAATACTAATTTATATAAACATATATTGATGTATGTATATAATTCATTTAATAAACGTGGATTCATTCGTAATTATCAGTTTGAATGCAGCTCTTCTGTGAGTACTTAGCCGAATGCGTCCGATTCGCTTGACTCGTAAAATGAAATAAGTATTTCACACGATGTGAGCGCTTCAGAACGATGTTCATTCACAGGAGCTTTACGTCATATCACAATCTGTGAGAAATGCAATAAATACTGTTTCCACAAAGTAATACAACTTTTTTCCTTGGTTATTGCTTTATTTCACCTGCAATGATCTTAATATTGAACTTGAAATATCAGGCGTATTCCGATGTTCTTCATGGTAGAGCACCAGTCACAAGTTCTTTGGCACATAAGGATTCTTATATAGTTTTGTTACCGTTAAGAAAGCTTAAAAAATTAGAGAACGTTCCTAATCAGATAGTATTGCTACTAGTCCCTCAATCTTGGGAAAAAGTTTCGGAATTTTCCCAGTATATGAGTAAGTCAAAAATGTAATACGGATTCATGTTATGCAATATCTTAGTTCGCAATAGGCAAATGGTCAAACATTATTATTAAACATGATTGCCGGCAGTATAAACGTTTAATTACAAAACACTCAAAAAACTCTGATTATCCGGACAAGAACCTCTAAGTTAGACAATCCTATTTTATTTAGGAATTCTAACAGAACTTCATAATAACAAACCAACTATTTTGAAATGTTGATTGATTCAAACAAATTAAGCGAGCCTAATCATCTTCGCTTCAATATCATTCCTCATCATTACCATATATAAAAATTAAGCATATAAACTTGCTAGCTCTCAAGGTTAAAGGACCAAATATTTTACAGTCCTAACGCGGAAGTCAAAAAGGATGGGAAGTATAAAGTAGGAAGATGTAACAGAAAAAAATTTCAATTGGTCTCGCAACGACCACCCTTATAACATTTTTGTGGGCACCAGAAAAGAATTCTACAGTAATTATTGAAATCTTTCTGTTCTTCAATTTCACGTACTCCCAAATTTTGGTTATTTTTTGGTATTTTTAAGCTATGTTTCTTTGTTGTTTCATGTAATTTCATTAATGAATTTTGTTAATTTCTAAAGTTCGTGAAGTTCTCAGTTTGTTTTCTTTCACTTATTTGAATTTTTAACCATAGGAAATCCATTTATTGATGATCTTGTTTAGGGTTCAACATGGGTTTAACAGGAAAGCCCATCGTCATCGATGGAAAAGACCATCTTCTTGGACGTTTGGCTTCTGTCGTCGCCAAGCAACTCCTTTTAGGAGAGAAGGTCGTTGTCCTCAGATGTGAAAGTATCAACATCTCCGGAAACTTCCACAGATCTAAGCTGAAATACCTTTCTTTCTTGAGAAAGAGAATGAATGTCAACCCATCTCGTGGTCCATTCCATCTTAGAGCTCCCAGCAAGATCTTCTGGAGAACCGTTAGAGGTATGTTATTTTTTAAATTTTCTCTTTAGACGTGTTGTTTTCAGGTATGCTCCCACACAAGACCCCTCATGGAACTAAGGCTCTCAAGAGTCTCCGAGTTTACGAAGGAGTACCACAACCATACGATCGTCAAACCAAGTTCAATGTACCTACTGCCAGTAGACATCTCGGACTTAAGCCAAGACGCAAGTTCTGTTCCGGTAAGATATATTAGCATTTTCTTAAATTATTTTTGTTCTCTTAGTCGGAAGACTCTCCCACGAGGTCGGATGGCAATACGCTGAGGTTGTTGAGAAGCTTGAGACCAAGAGAAAGGTTAAGGGTGCAGCTTACTATGAGCAAAAGAAGAAGGTCGAAAAATTACATGAGCAGGTAAGCCTTACACATCCAAGTCCTTTTTATAATATCGTTTTTCCAGGCTAAGAAGAACATCGCTGCCAAGATCGCTCCATTCCAGAAAGTCATAGAGAGTTTCGGATACCATTAAACTGTTCTTGTTGCTGTTATGAAAATAATATAAAAACGTTGATTTATTCTTTATTCTGTGGAAACAGGGGTTGTATCTGACGAAACTTTGGGTCTCTTATAATTTGTTCCCTTCACATGTAGATTTAAGAATGCTTCACTTGCTGAGTAAGATCCCTTCAACTTCGAACGGGCTGTGTGCCGTTTTTGCTCAGGACAGTTCCTCTGATGTTTTCCTTCATCTGCATTACTTGTCAAATGCATGTTCTCAAAAGAAGAGAACTTTGCTATTATCAGCAAGACGTTCAGAGATGATGTATAGGTAGTGGCTTCATATATTAAAGAAGAGAGCTCGAAATGATAGGCTAATGGCTGCCAAATTTGCTCTAAGAATGGATCCAAACTTGGTGAAATTAAGAGAAGTCGCTTCTCTAATAACTGAGAGTGTGGAAGAGTTCGAGTACAACTTGATGGTTAGTGCCCGTTCTTGTGAGCTAATCGCGATTCTTTTAAGAATGTTATCCGAGAGAGCAGCCCTGAGGTTGTCATATTAGATGATATTAGTGTCTGGGAAAGACTTGGCTTGAGTACGACTAGTGTCCTCAAAGTTGTATTGGAAGCTATGCATACCGTAAATAAAGGCCTAGTTTATGTCTCAAGTTCACTTAATAATCAGGTAGGCCATTCATACGGTTATTTCAAAATGCTGTGATAGACTTTCAAACGGTTGAGCTTATATGCAGACACTAGTATCACTTTAGAGCTGATAGGCGGTGGATTTGGGAAAGAAGTCACGGGAAAGGTAACTTCCGTTTGAATCCCCCATCCTATATCAATGTTTCAGCTACATATTTCGTCCAAGAGTTGTTCCTTAGAAAATCAAAAAACTGAACTACTGTATTTAGCTGGTGATCGGTCAATCAAATGTTTTTATCCAGGCGATGCGAGCCTTGCCTAAATATCATAAATTTTCTTGTATTTTAACCTTATTTATAAAAATTTATTATGCAAGACATAGTATTGCAACTTTATATGCTAAACGATAGTACTATTCCTGAAAAACAGTGGCGAGGAAAAGAAGAAAAGGTGAGCGTTAAAAACTTTTGAAGTTGAAATAGAAAAGGAAATTCTTTTAAAACGGTATGCACCATGCACCGATAACCCTTTATGTACATCAATTTTTAGTGAATCACACGTTTTGACGATTTTTTTTAGCTGCTATCACATCAAGAATAGGCTGACGCTTAGTCTGATATCTGAATTCCATATTTTTCATTGAGCTTGGAGAGCTAAACGAACCTTCGCTGTAGTTCAGCCAACTCAGCATCCATCTCGGATTCGAGATTCTTTTTCCGGGTCAATAACTCTTCAAGAGACAACTCTCGTAACTGAAAGCGGTTAATTGGGAATTATATCGATCTCATCATAGCAGCATAATAGCAACAGTGCAATTATTCTAATTTTCATTTACTCGCATACTGCTCATTCTCTCAATTCGCTTAGTAATGACCGGTTGCATTCATTGACGTCGTAAGTTTTTTCAAGTTATAAATCGGAAAAGTTAAGTTTTACTCACGAAATCATAGTCTCCTTCTGCCATCGCATGCTGGAATCTGTTGTCATACTCTGCTTGCGTGCCCACTAAATTCGAAAGAATAGAAATAAAGTTCACGGTTTCAATCTCACAGTAAGTGCTATCTGCGTTTGTATTAGACGATAGAGTGGAGTCAGCACCGACTACACCACTAGGAACATTAGCTCCAAACGCAACACCATTTTGTGCCAATGCAGAAATGCCTTGTTGCTGTTGCTGGGCTTGATAAGGTGGTGGTGGAGCAATGTTCGCAGCACCTATAATGTTATGAGTTTACGAAGAGACAAATAGACTCTGTGTTTACTCATTGCTGCTGGCGGTATTTGGCCTCCAATACGCAATGATTCCATTTGGCTTCTTAAGCTTTGAGCAGTTTGGTACGCATTACTCGTTGGGTGTTGGATTAACGTTCCTTCATCCAAGTTGCCACCGATCATAGTTCGACCATCAGGTGTGCAAATCATGGTTGAACTATCAGCATCGAATACAGGTGGGTTCTAATATAGCAAATATTACTAACAACTCTAATTACCATTACCTGTATACTATTCAACTGTGCTGCCTGTATATCTTTCGCTTCTTTTATTATATCTTGTAAAACTTGAGGTCCTGGAGCATTGACAATGAATGGTTCCTGTTTTATCGTACGAGTTACAACAAAAAAAGAGAATGTAAAACCTTCAGTAATTCGTCTGCTGTTTTTCGTTCATCAGGTTTTCTCACAAGGCACATTTTTATAAAGAAGTTGAATTCGTCACTCCAATCTTCTGGTTTCTTGAACGTTGGAGGTGGTTTTGTGGGGATCATGAAAATCGCCTGAACGTGGAATTGAATAAATTAAACAGTCTTTCCACTGACTCTCATAGGGTGAATATCAGCATAAGGCGGTCTTCCCTCAGCCATTTCAATAGCTGTGATTCCCAGAGACCATATGTCGGCTTTCGTATCATACCCGATTTCTTCAATGACTTCCGGAGCCATCCAGAAAGGAGTTCCTATCACTGTATTCCTTTTTGCCATTGTATCCTTCAAAGTTATTGTTTTGTTTTTTGTTGAGACCGATGATTCACCGTGAGCTGTCCAGCAACACCAAAGTCAGCTAACTTGGCATGCCCTTCCATGTTAAGAAGAATATTACCAGCTTTGATATCTCTATGAATTTTCTTTAAGCCATGCAAGTATCTTAATCCCTTGATGGTGTCTCTCAAAACGGCACTAATCTCTTTTTCGGTTAAAGTTTTTCTTCGAAATCTCATTATATCGGAAACAGAGCCTGCTCCACAGTACTCCATTACAATCTGCCATGGAATATACAGAAGTTAAAAAAAAATAGTCAGTACCCATAAGTCTGAGTTTTTGAAATAAGATCCATAATATTTCACCACGTATTTGGAATCACATTGTTGCATAATACTGATTTCTTTAATAATTTCCTGAAACCTTGTTTTTCAGAATTCTATGACTTGAAGTCTAGTGGAACCTGTAAATCTGTGTCCACAGGAACTTTTTTAACGGCAAGAGTATGGCCAGATTCTTTATGGATGGCTTTATGAACCGCACCATAAGAACTGTAAAAACGTTGCTTGAAAACGAAAAAGTGTTCTATTGCAGCGAAAATATGTACAAAACTCGATAAGATCTAACCACAAACAACCTCCAAAGTAAACGCAGCGAAGTATTAAATTAATTAACAAACTCACCCTTCTCCTAGTTTCCCAACAATGTCAAAAACATCCTCAGGCTGCTTGTTGAGAGCTGTAGGATCCAATTTGAAGCTGTCGCTGAAACTCTCTGTTGATAAGAGGTGAGCCTTAAATGCCTTACCTGCATGCTTCGTCTGAGTCTCTTCGCACTCTGTCAACTGAAGGTGGCATAACTACCTCACCAAATTACTCTAAACAGTTATCAGCTAAATCATGTTTCTTCAAAATTTTCAGAAGAGAAAGCTTTTCAAATGAATAAGACTAGATATTTAGAGGAGAAAAAGCAAACGGCATAGGACAAACACTCGAAGGAAATGATAAAAGCCGGAGTGCACGACAGATAAGGTTTGCGTGTATAATTCGACCGCATCAAGTCCTTTCTCACTTCATTTATCCAAATGTGGGCTACAAAACTGAGGGAAAGTTCCATTTTCGGTCAATGAATGTGTAACGCTTGCACGCTCCTGTTTACCACTATTTTGCGTTTCTCTTTGCGTACTGGGCTGCGGCGCGTCCGCGTCACGTGTAGCGTTTTTTTAGAAAATTTTTGATATGTTAAATATTTTAATTTAGAAGACGGTAATTAATAAGTTGAAGTATGATATGAATCCTCAACTTCTACGCGAAATGATGAACAGTTCAGAAAGAGTACGAAGAAGAATGAGAGAAGTTTTAGACGGTTTTATTAGTCGCCGACTTGGCATGTGTTTCTTGGCATTTTCTTAGCTTTATTATCACAGGAGTAGTGTTCTGCTCTTCATTCGAACTTCATGGCTTAACTAATTTATGAAATTATGTTCTTTGATTTCCAGGCCAATCAGGCCGGCCATGTAATCTGACCTGGAAATCCTTCTGTTTATTCTTTATTTTCCGAAATTTCAGTTTTGGAAAATAGATGAAACTTTTGGTATTCTTGAAATCCTGTTCCTATCGATTGAAATATTGTTTATTTTTGTTTCCAGTGTTTTTCTAAGAATCCTTATCACTTTTGTGCTTATGAGCGATTCTTATAGTTTTTGAATCAAATTTTTTTTCACGTGGTAACATTTTAATCTCTACAATCACGAGACGTTTTTCGACATTTTTTCGAATTCTTCCTGTCATCTTTTAAGATCTTCATATTCCTCGTTTCAACTTTTTCTATAATTTTTTATCGGTTTGAATTTAATGTTACGTTCTTGTTCTGTATTCTTTGTTCCTTATCAGGTGATGTTATAGATTTTAGTATGCTTCTGTTTCAGATGTCCCAAAGAGACCCGGATATGTTACCGAATTGGGATGAGTTCGGTGCAAACGAGGAGTTAGATTACAATGATGACCCTCAAGGACAAGAAAATGTGTCAGGTTTGCAAAAAGCAGTTTTTGTTCTTATCGTTTCGTCATCGGTGCAGATGAACCTGTCCCCGGTCCATCATCCCCGGATGCAGTGGAAGAACCCTGCTCTACGTCTGCTGCTCCTTCAGGGGTTAGTTATAACATATATATATATACAATTTTAATTTTTTTTCAGAATGACGGATTACCACGTCTGAATGATCCCACATTCAACAATGGACCACCTGTTCCCAATGTGTTCTGGATTCCGGATGATACAGCTCCTGATGATCCTTCATGTGACCCTGAAGATCCTGATATGCCATCACATCAAATAGGTATGGTTTTTTTTGCGTGTTCTATATCCATTCTTGTTTTATTAAGGTCCTGTTTTACCTACTTTTTCAAATCGTCCTCGCCCAAATAATCACCCCTCTTTTAATCCTCCTGTCCCAGATTGTAATCACTCTGGTTCCTCCAGGTTATCCATAAATTTTGATTTTGAGTTAATTTCCGTTTAAGAAGTGATCGATCTGGTGGAGCACCTTCCCTGCCTGACGATGAACTCCGAGAGAATAGCCACTCAGGTAGCGCTCAATGTGTAACACCATAACAGAACTTTCTCGTTCAGTTTCTTTTTCTCTGCCGCCTCCTGAACCAACTTCATCTAGGAATGTACCTTCCAGTGTCGCTGAAGATTCCTGTCCTCCCTTCTCGGGCCGTGTTATTGGGCCCTCTATCCCGACTTCTTCTAATAGTTCGAGTAACAACGAGTTGAGTATGCCTTCTGTAGGCCTTGGGCCTTCATTGCCTGCTCAAATAGGCCCCAGTATACCTGAGCAAGTGATTGGACCAGCATTGCCCAATAATATTGGTCCTGTTATACCTGAACCATCTAATGGTCCTCTTTGTCCCGGACGTGAAGATGGTCCTTCTGCGGATGAAAATCAAGAAGATTCGGAACCAAATGGAGAACTAATCAGAGGACCCGCTCTACCTCCATCAAGATCTGCCACCATTGGTCCAGCCATGCCTCCTGTTGTGCTACCTTTGGATGATTCAAGAGACAATCAAGAAGTTGAAGATTTATATGGACCTGCTCCTCCACCCCCTGCTGAAGGGTCTCGTGGAATTAGCCTTCCTCCGGAAATGCCAAGTGTTGATGATGACGATGAGGTAATTTTTTCTTGGGAAACTTTCCCACTGCTGTTTTGTAGATTATTGGTCCCACTTTGCCTACCAGTCAAGACGATGAAAAAGCTGCCGAAGAATATGCTATTCGGAGGCTTATGTTAGAAAAACAAAAAGAGGAGGTTCTCAATCTTTTTAATACTTTTCATTCTTTCGAGTTTGCAGAGCACAAGTAGGAGAGAAGAATGGATGACTCAGTTACCGAAAAAAATGACCAATTATGGTCTGGGGGCCAGAACGTTCAGCAAAAGCTCAACTCATGCTGAGAAAGATAGTAGTTGGACTGAAACTCCAGAACAAAAACGGAGAAGAATAGAGGTATATTCAATCAGTTTTACGAACTAATATATTTTTTTTCTCAAGAGAGGAGAAGGCTCATCTTCTGCAACCGATTCTTCTAATATTCTTTTGACTGCTCAACAAATGAGAGATCAGGAACAGGAAAGAATTGCCCTACAATGCAACGTAAATTGACGTTCCAAGTTTCCGTTTTTCATCTGAGTTTTCAGGCTAACAGAACCGAAGCTCTTCTGGATTCACATCAGAGGAAGAAGAAGAATGAAACAGGACAGGTATCCATTGTGCGATTTGAGTATATGTTTATTCATATTTTTCTAGGGAACTTCTTCTGGGGAGAGGAGAGCATTCGATAGAGAGAAAGATATGGAAGTACGAGGCTTCAAAGGCTCTACTTCGGCTGAATTGAAGGTTTGATTGAACTTAAGCGATCATATAATATTTCTTTCTCATTCAAGGAACGGTGTGGCCAACTGAGTTCAAGATTTGGTAGCAGTTTGAATCAAAAGTTTCTTTGAACCCAATGACTCCTGTAGCTGGCATAGCCTCTAAAAGAGATTACCATGTGAGATGGAGGAGAGGGAGAGCTTTTTCGTGCTATGAAGCGTGTTTCAAAGAATTGCGAAGTTCTAACGATATTAAGTAGTTTGTAGTGAAAAATATCATCCAAATACCTCAAGTTTTCTGTTGTTCCCCTCAGAAAAGACAAGCCTTTCAGCTTGTGCATAGTTATTACGGTGTTGTTAGTTAACATATGTCTTTTCGTAGCTTGATTTGAGAACCATGTACTACTAGACACGGAGTTTTAATTCTGATAGTTCTCTCCAAACTTTAATATTTTTGCGTATTTCGAGATGTTAAAATGCATTTTTAGCTATATGCTATCAAAATAAGAAAAATAAGTTTATGTGTAGGTTTCTTAGTCATAGTAAACCGTAATAATCAGAATTTCAACAACGGGCTATTTCTTTCCTTCCACCATGATTATATGATAACCAAACTTCGTCTTTACTGGAGGGTCCGTGTAGATTGGCTTATCTACCGTGCTTTTGGCCAAATCGAAAGCAGCGTCTTGGAAAGGGCCAACCATCGAGCCTCTAGTCATCCACCCAAGATCTCCCTAGATTTAATTGATCGTTGTTAATGATAGAAAATAAAGATTTACTCCTGAACGAGCTTTGTCTTCACTGTACTGGGCAGCGACTTCATTAAATTTCATACCGGCTTTCAGTTTCTCCATAGCTTCCAAAACTTTACCCTGGAAGGAAAAAACGTGTGCTTGCGTCATTAATAGATGATCGAACCTGCTTCTCACAAAGAATATGGCGTACTTTAACAGCAGTACCTCCCTTAGCTTCTTTCTTTGGAGCTTCTGCTTTTGCTCCACTTGGCTTAGCTGTTTCTTTCTTATTCTTCGGTGGCATCTTTCCCTCTTAAATATATTTTAGATGAATCATTCAAATGTTTTCAGGCACAGTAACGAGAGAGTTAGCTCATCTGATCCGATTCGATAGAAACGAATGATTAAATTATTTATTTATATGTACAAAAACATATTAAGCAAGTTTCGACGCATCTTCATAAGGTACATTAACTTCACGCCCATTAAGCACTCCGGATTTTATCCTCAGATTTAAACTGAACTTCTTTTCATCAATGGCTTCGAGTATCTGAATAAGAAGTAAGGATCTATCAACATTACTGGTCTTACAGCTTTCTGTCCTCGATAAGCTCCGTTGACAATCATCATGTCTCTTCCGACTTGTGGAATAACCGTTTCAACATGAGTCTGATCCAACTTTACGATGACACCTTAAACATCATTACAATTCTCAATGAGATATGAAAAAATTGATTACCATCTGATAACTTGACATTAGCTGTGTATTGATCTACAAGGCTTTTCACCACTCCTTTCTCCTTATAAAATTCGGATCCTAATTTTTTTGTGACAATCTGGTATAACATCATGAGAGAAGAATAGTTAATATGATCACCTTTACAACTATCCCTTCATGAAGCCAATAGTCTTTACGATTATTTCTTTCTTTGATTCTCTCATTCATCATTCTGATATCTTCTAGAGCTGATCTCTTTGAGCCTTTATCGTTTCTGCGGTCATCTGATTTTTCTTAATTGAGAACGATATTCCCCTTGAAATACACTCACCTCGACTACTGCTTCTATCTTTCGGACTCCTACTTCTTTCTCTTTTAACTGGTTTTTCGTTCTTATGACTCTTCCTGAAGAAAAGTTTAAATTCACTCTTATTGTAAAGCTTGGTGAGCTAACCTCTTCTCTCTGTCATCATCAGAATCCGGCTCTTCTTTTTTTGCGTTTATCTTTTTTTCGAATATATTAGTTATTGCCATTGGTTTGTTCAACTCCTACAATTGAAAAGCATGAACACAGAGAGTCAAAGGTAATGACCATACCTCGAGTGTTGGCTTTGTATTGAAGTTAATATTTAGAGAAATTTTCTCGTCTTCGTTCCTCACTAAAGCCGTTGGCTCGTAAGACTCATCATCTTCACCACGTTCATCTAGGGCTCTGATTTCAATTGTGTATATCATTATAATAATATATCATACCTTTGAACTCTTTCCTTGATCATTTGTAATTGCCGGTCTTCATCATCTTTCTCGGCCTTCTGCTTCCGTTCTTCTTCTTGCTTTTTCACAACATGCTCTTGGTCGATGTACTGAACATACCAAACACCTACAAAACCATGTTACTTCAAAATGAAAAGAATGCTGACCTTTTTCTTCATCCTTATCTATTTTCACTTTTCCTATTTCTGCTAAGAAATGGATGAATCCTGTTAATGTGTGCCATCGAGTAGCGTTCATGTGAGTATGATCCTAAGTGGAACCGTTGTTTGCTTCAACATCTTCAATTACTAACCTTGTCCTTGATATATTCCTGATAAACCTCATTTGCTCTAACTCTACGACAACCATAGGAATTTTTCAAAACCTGTTTTGAGATACTTATAGGATTAAAACTGAGTTTGGAAACTTACAAAGATGAATTTTTCCTCGAACTCACGACTGAACTGTCTGATATAAGCATCTGTATCTTCAGCTACTAATATGAGTTGCCGCTGATGAGATTCTGATGTCAAGTGACATTTATATCCATTGGCATCTCTACATTGTTTTTTACACATTTCACAATACCTTCAATTATATTAATCTTTAAGTATGGCTATTACCAAACTGACCATCTTAATTTTGCAAGACCCCGAGATTTCGAGCGATTTGCCAAGTCTTTAGGAGCTCCTTTTTCATGTTTCCCCATTTCGTGAATTCAACTGAAAAAGTATTACTTCAATAGAGTTTTCAAAAGAATTCGTCAAAGGCCGAGTTTCCATATAAGGTTTTACCGAAACTGCCTCAGAAAAGCTGAAAGGAACAACATTTTAAATCAGACGATCACGTACATTCGAAATGTACAGTGTTCGGTAACTGGTGTTCCATTATTTGCTTTCAACAGTTATTTTTTTGATTATCCTATATTGAGTATGTGAGAATTGAGAATTTCTTCGTCTAATATCGCATCAATAATATTGAAAAGGCATCAACATGTTTTAAAAATTTTAACCCTTTAATCTTAAGGTTCTATCTCACGACAAGTTTTGAGAAGAACTAATGCCTAATGACTACAATCACTTGATCTCTTACTTTCAGAATATCCTTGGTTTTTAGAATTTAGTATTATTTTATTAAAACTATTCAAAAATGGTGAGTATCTCATTTCTTCTACAAGTAATATATCAAAAACAGACTGGGGGTCTAGTGATGGCAGGTCTTGGAATGGCTGCACTCGGATTTGGTGCTCGTTATGCAATGCGAAATCAAGCTGCCCTTAAAAAAGCCTTGGAGGCCATTCCTGGAGGAGCTGTAAGCTAGCGATTGGATCCATTCATCATGCTTGTTCGCTTTTTTTAGTTTGAAAAGTTTCACAGAGGTGGATTCGAACAAAAAATGAGCAGGAGTGAAGCTGCAATGATTCTTGGTGTTCCTGCTACAGCGAAACCAAATAAGATCAAGGATGCTCACAAAAGAATAATGATTATCAACCATCCAGATAGAGGCATTCAAATTTTCTTCAATTTTTTATATAAATTCTTGAATTATTTAGGAGGTTCACCTTACTTAGCAGCCAAAATAAATGAAGCAAAAGATCTATTAGAATCAGGGAAAAATTAGTTGTTATTGTTGTTTTTCATGCGATAGAAATATATGAAATGAAGTTTTTACTTTTTCTCTGTTCAATTTCCATGTTGTGTTGTGGTTCGTTCCATAATTACTTATCATTTATCGATTTGTTGGAGGAATGCTCTTGTCGTTGCTGTGTTCTTTCACTTTTTCCATTTTTACAGTCTATTGTGAGTGTAAAAAGTAGTTTGAATCCTGTGAGAGTGTTTCTGAGATCAATGGTCTACTCTCTCTCTTTTCGAACTTCTTTTGAAAGGTTTTATTACATAGGGCATGTTTTAGGCCTTTCGTTTCCTTGCGAGCATTTTATCTTTGTTTCTTTACATCATCTTTCGAACTAGGCTCATCTTTTACATTGGGTTCACATGCAGATGCGAGACGAAGATTTGGCAATCATGCTTATAGTGGGATAGGGATGGGAATAATGATTGTATCTTGTGTGTGCCAACCATTAGTACCAAATCAAGGAAGTTCTACAATTTCCGATTTAGGCTTCTGGAGTCGCTAATTGTTTGTTCAGGAATTGGTTTCATGAATCTTGACTTGTTTCTGGATTGTTTATGAACACCTAGCAGTTGCATGTGAAATTGTGCGTCTGCCCAAATAAGCCATTTGATGTTTTCTCAAGTCCTTGCTCTCTTCTTCTCTCTCAGTAGTGAGGGTATTGATTATTTTAACGAGAGCATTAGAAAAGAAGATGAAGAACCTAATAAGACTGAGCAACAGATTTTTATATTTTTTGTTTAGACAAACTCACTCATTAAAATGCTCATATATCCCTTGGTTGTGGGAAGGAGTTAAAGAGATAAAAACGTATTTGCATCTGAAACAAAATGGAATCAATCATTCTAAATATGGATGAAAAGAATAATCTAACGCTCGCTTGGGAGGTCATGCTCATTTTCTTGGCCTGCCATCCGTTTCTCTGTCTTTGCTTTATGTAGGAAGCGTTTCATGTAAATGGGATGCTGGGAGAATAGTGAGCGCGGGGCACGATCGATAAGAATAGCACAGCATTGTCGGCGGAGTTGCGATTAGCTCGCTCCTCTATCCTTATATGTTTATGGATCATGTCAACCTTCAGAATAAAATTCGAGGTTAGCTTCTAATTTAGGTCAACGGTTGAGTAGTAATTGTTGTATTTGTTTGTGTGAACTGTTCATCAGTAGAACAGTTTTATGATGGTGTTCGATATATGCAGAATTCTAAGGAAAAAGCCGAACGTTCCCTCCGACAGTATTTCCTCGTCTTGAGTATTTTTGTTGTTATTGTTATCGTAGTGAAGTTCATATTGTTGTGTTTTGTTCTATTCTTTGTTCCCTATTTTGTTTCTCTCCAGAGTTTGAAATCCGTATCCGTAAGTGGCGTCAACTCAGATTCGGATTTGCTGAACCTGTAGTACATCGAAGAAGTGCTTCACAGGAACCTCATAATAGTAAGATAGATATATGATACTTGTGATAAGTGCGTTTCTCTCCTTCTAGACAATTCCGTATCAGTGCAGTCCAGTCCTGCACACCGAACACCTATTAGTAACGTTCCTATCGGTTGCCGAACCACACCAATGCAGCGTCGTGATTTAGGACGTAATATCTATTATATCTTTTCTCTTCTTCTATGTCTTTGTTCTAGTTGATCTACCAAAGTTTCAAAATGCCAGGAGTCCAGAACAGCAAGAGATTGAAAGGCGTTATCAAGCAGTCAGAGGAGATTCAGGCAAACTAACAATAAAAGGTTAGCTGAATTAGTTATGAAGCCTTGTATTAGGTATTTTCTTTAGGTGAAACTAAGTTAGTATCTTTCGAAGAGTTGACTTTGGAAGAAGAAATAGGTAATGGCAGTTGTGGTCAAGTTTCTCGTTATACGCTGGGAAATGTTGTGATGGCTATCAAGGTTTCATTTTCCTTAAACATGTATAAATTTTGTTCGATTTAGCAAATGGCAAGAACGAATAACCCTGATGAGAACAAGAGAATCATCATGGATCTTGATGTGGTAACGAAAACTAAGGATTGTCCTAATATAGTCTTGTGTTATGGATATTTTATTCATGATGTAAGTTCTCCATGTAGATTTTTTACGAGCCTTTTATTCTCAGTATGATGTTTACGTTTGCATGGAAATCATGGCTACTTGCCTAGATCGTTTATTAAAGAAAACCAAGACAGGGTTCCCTGAAAAAGTTATCGGGAAAATGGCCGTGAGCATTTTGAGTGCTCTTAGTTATTTGAAAGATAATCATGTGAGTTTTGAATATATATTAACTGACAAATATCGTTATTAGAACGTTATTCATCGAGACATCAAGCCTTCTAACATTCTCATCGATTGGAGTGGTACAATCAAACTTTGTGATTTCGGGATTAGGTCCGCATACAGTGAAGATTATGTATACTCACTCCATGATTTTTTTCAGTGGGCAGTTAGTTGAATCTCAAGCTCATTCCAGACAAGGATGTCCACCATACATGGCTCCCGAACGCCTGTCAGACGTGAGTATTTAAATGGAGAACCATTATAATTAAACTATTTAGACCGTCCGTGATTACGATATTCGTTCTGACGTTTGGTCATTTGGTATAACTTTGGTTGAGCTGGCCACTGGAAAGTACGTTTCACGCAGAGCTGAACTGTTATACTACAAGCTTCAGGTTCCCCTATGCTGGCAGCGGGTTTGAAATGCTAACATCTATTATACAATCTCCATCTCCATCTCTTCCCGCTGAGTTCTCGCCCGAATTCCGGAGTTTTGTTGATCTTTGTCTCACGAAGGACGTTAAGAAGAGACCAAAATACAATGTTTTGAAGGTATTTTTTAGTTTCGCGTTTGCGACGTATATGAATTGCTTTAGAACGAGCCCTTCATCAAGAACAGTATTGCTGATAGAGTGACAGATGTAGGCTCTTGGTTTGAAAGTGTTTACACTATATAAAGAACAACTCGGAGAAGTAATCATTTGTATGATCACATCTTCTTGTGCACTCACTATGATATAAGTTGATGCCGCCGGGTAAATATTTCATAGCTTAGTCATTTTGTATTGACATCTCGTATCCTAATTTTTACTGCTTCATAATTCTTGTGATATTAATTTCCATATTATTCTAACGATATGCAATATCAAGGCCAGTAAATTGTACTAAGGCGTTTCGAGGCTCTAGCTGTTACTCAATGTTTTATTACAATTTTTAATCCTGTAAGCAATGAACATATAGTATGATCTTTACCAGAGTCTGACATCAGTCATAGTTCTCCCATGTTAAAATAATAATACGAATGAATAGCGAAGTATGCATTGATGATTAGTTCTTCTTCCGAGTTCCATTCTGATTCATACTTTGATACTTGTTCAGGTTCAAAGTCTTCTCGAAAATGGAATAGATGATCGGTTGAGCAATGAGTATATCTTAGTAGTAACTTCTGTCGCCTTGTCATTTTCTCCCAAGCACTTGGGAAACGATGACATTTTGTTTCGTTCACGATTGAGCTTTGCAAAGAGCATTCTTTATTGAGATTTCCGCTGTGTCGGAAGTTTCGAGATAAAAGGCATTAATGCTACAAATTAAAATGTTAATAGTGAAAGTCAGCAATTATTTCAGTGCTTAATTTCCAAGAGCAAACTTAATTCCTACTGAAGAAGGAAGTTCCAGCCTTTCAGTGGTGTCACCGGTGTGATTGGAGCTGGTTTGCTAGAGACCTTTAGTCAAGGAGATCTGGCAATTATACCGAAATATTACAAAAACTTTTGATTCTATCAGTTCACGAAGTTCAAATTAGTATTTCTTTTTTGAGACATGTAATGAAATAGTTTTTCATCTATTCCATGTTTAAGACAAATTCCTAGAAGAAATTATAGGATGAGGGAGGTTTTCTGAAACGGAAATAGCAACTTCCACATTTGAAAGCTATGAATGTCAATGTAGATTGAGGAAAAAGAATGTCTAATTCTGGGAACAAACCTCGAAATAACCGGAGTATGCTGGTCTTTGGCCAAATGAGTGCTCTTTATGATATATCTTGAGCTAAAGTTTAATTCACATGAAACAAATATGTGTTAAAGAATAATAATTTGGCTGCATTCATGTGCCCCCGGTCAAAAATGTATTAAGGCGAGATTTGTTATTGGGAAATTGTGAAAATGCTTGTTTGAATATTTAATATTGAGCGAAATGCAGAGAGAAGCCGAATTCAGATTAAGGAGGCTTTTTCTTACCTGCTGCTATTACTGGTAATAGTTAATATTTACTCACAAATCAATAATTCATTAGCTTATAAATCTTAGAATGCTAAATAAACTATTTATCTATATGGCTTTTTGTACTTAAGATATTTCGATTCATTCTTTATTCATTTTTTTTCATCTCTACATTCTCATGCGTTCCAGCTGTAATGATATGGACACGTCACACCTCAGGTGAAAAATTTGAATAAATTGGTTACGTGAAAACGCGTGGAGGCGAATGTGTGAAAATTCATTATAATTTATGTTTGCGAGGAGAGCGGTTGAACGATGGGACTGCAAATCAAATCATTTTTTTTAGATAACCGGAATGAATTTTTCATGTGGAAATGAATTTTTAATAGGTAAGATACTATATTAAGAAAGTAATTTATTAGAATATTTGAACAGGATGGTTCATTCCAATTATTACTGAGCAGCCGTTCTCTGATACTACGCGTGTTGAAGAAACCCTGAGCGATTACAAAGTTATTCAGTTCTATCAAGCAAGACCTCGTGAGTTGATTTACTTCTCGATTCAATTATGATGAATGATAATTACTCTCTGGAATTCCGTAGTTTAAGCAGATAGCTACTTAATGATATTTCTTTCAATTCATTCTTTGAAATGGTTTATTACTTTTATCTACCTAGGAAAAGGAGAATGATATAGAGGAAAAGCAGCGGCTAGTTTTTGCTGTTATGACTGGGTAGACCTAGCTCTTTTCGTAAATAACATAGAATCAGCTAGTTCCTCAATGTCTTTCAAATTCCTCTGCTTCTTTTTTGTGTTTATTGGTTTCCTTTTTTGGTTATTTCTAGTCGCCTATAATGTCAGAGCAACTAATGACAACAAGAGTTGGCAATAATCCAAATGCTGCCTAGTTTCCTATGCGATTGCATGAATTATGAAAATGAAGCTCAATCTTGCAGAAATGAGAGGGAGGAAAGTGGGGGAGGAATCGGGGCTCGTATGAATAGTGCAAGTAACTACTTTTAGGTTTAAATTGGTCCACAATTATTCATATTTTTGATGACCATTGCAATTGAGAGAGCATAAGAAAAAGCCAATGTCTATTTCACTGGCGCCAAGATAGAAAAGTAGGCACATGTTGTCGGGACATTATGGCGCCTGCGTAGCCATCTATAGATAGATTAAAGAGCACCGATATGAAAAACTGTCATAGTATTCGATGGCCGATTAGCAGACCACTCGAAAAGTCACAGTGAATCAAACTCTTTAAAAAATCGAACAAATGCATTATTGCCCTATTAGGAACTTACGTTACGAGCTTATCGATTAGCTTCTATTAAAACTCAGGGGGATCTTTGAACCGCTGCTACCTAAACCCGATACTACGACTATCTTTGTTTATTTTATGTTGGTTCAATTGCCTCTTTTCATTTGCCATTTTTGTTCAATTTTGATGATGCAGATGGCGCCGTGACGACGACCAGGTCCTGTCAAGGACGTGTTCGATATGTTCTCGGGTCAAGAAAAGGAGCCTGATAGCTCAATTAATTTCCACGAATTCACGTACTTCGTATCCATTGGGCTGAAACCAAAGAGAAAAGAAATTAGAAGGATGTGGCTTATTGTGGACAGGCTTGGCAAAATATGAAAATAATGAATGCTGAAGTAAAAATGAGTAAACAGACAAAATATATGGTTAGAGTGACAGAGTAAGCTGGGGATGGTTAGGCGGAGAGAATATAGTGATATGATTGGTTTTGTAATTTCATTCTACAAACAGTTCGTCGAAGTTTGTGTAACGCTTTGATATAAGAATGCTTGTTTCTTTATATTCCGTAACTTTCCTAATTAAGCTATTTCAGTCTTATTGAAGTATACTTGAATGGAGAAAAAGCCGTAGCAACACTACTTGAAATCGTTGGTTGTGACATATCTGCAGGTAACTGTTTTTTCCTTTATTCGTTCTTTGTGGTCATCCGGGGGGATAAAGCCGTCATTTCTCCAACTAATGCAGATTTAACAAAATGGTAATCTGACTGCTCCATTTGTATGTGTTCCCTCAAATTCTTAAACTGAAAGAAGAGATATATGAGAAAAACAAAAAGCTTGAAATATGCGAAAAAGGGAGAGAGCGGAAAGAAACAGACAGAAGAGAGATGGTAGAAGAAAATCTGTCAGCTGATAAGTTCATAACCAAAATATGATAAAACTTGATTGTCATGATTCATAGGCTTCAGTTGAAAGTGTTTTCGTTACTTGTTCAATGCCATTCTCTCTTCGCACCTTTGCAACTTTTCTGTTTAGAAGATGCTGAAGGAAAGCTAGGAAATAAAAAGGGGGACAAAAGAAAGGCACAGAAATGATAAAAGATGAAAAATAATCTCGGGGGAGAAATATTTTTTTGTTGTTGTCTCATACTTGATTTCTTATAAGACTAAGGATTTTAGCACATCATTCGTAAAAGAGGATGAAGCTCAGGAATTTGGGCGACATTTTCTAGAGTGACTGATGCCTAAGGCCTTTGGTATGAAGTAGCTTTTCATCTTTGGTTCTTCTCTGCCACCCCCTATGTGCTTTTGGCGATGTTTTATTTGGGCATTCTATTTCCATCATTTTCAAGCCATCTTTCCCTACCATTCTCCCAGTCTTATTGAATCTTTCAAATGTCATGCAGGTTGTCCTCTCAATTTCTTTCGTTTCTTTTGCTCAAATTGTCATTTTAGCTTGTTCAATGTGTTTCTATCCTTTTCTGAGCTTTGACGACATAAGACAGATTAGGATAGTAGATCTATAGAGTAATATTATATAGGCCAACCATTAAATAGATGAGATCTCAACTATTCTTCAGCATATCACTATTCTGATATTTTTCGAAACTTGGCTTGGCTCTTGCAATTGATTATACTATCGTTCCTTTTTTTCCCTTCTTTCCATGATTTTACTTCTTAAGTTCTTGTTCTCATTATTCTTCAAGAAAAATTTCTCGATTTAGTTGTTCTTCCCAGAGGAACTGCGATTTTGGTCAGCTGTTTTTCGACTTTTATGAATAATGTGCTGTATGCTGTTTGAGCTCACATTCATTCAGCACATCTGACTTCAAATTACAAAATTTTAGTCAGAAAAAAAAGGAAAAGCTTAGAAATCGGTCTTCTATATATGCTCATGCGAGAAACAGAGAATATAAGATGGGAAGCTAAACGAAATGGAAGGCGAAGATAGAGAGGGAAATAAATGGATGGATACAGCAAGAGAGAGAGGTATAGAGAGAAAGGCTGGCAAGAGCGAGAGTGAAGAGAAAGGGGAGTGGAGCCGTGAAAGAATGAAGGAATGGAAAGGGTTGCCTAAGAGACAAGTCCGACGAAGTCTTTACACACACCCTCATTTCGTTCATCACATCATCAAATGGAAGCCTTTCCCAATTATGACTCTTATGTAGCGACTGATTATACCTGAGGCGACCAAAACTCATTTCGAATTTGTCTTTACTTTTCGATAATTCGTTTTTCCCGTTTGTTCAGAAATTTTGATGTCGCGTCTTTTTTTTTCTTTCTTCCTCGTCATAAGCTATTCTTGAGACATCTACTAATAGCAACACAGAACGCTGCTTCTCTCAATACATAATGAAGCTTTATGATTGAAGTTATATAACTGAAGAATGAAAATCAGTTTTAAAACTCAATGATTTGTTATCTTTTTTGCCTACGTTTTTCCTTTTTCCGCTGATCGAGTCTCAAATTAA